AGTTATTCTGGATCCTCTGATGAAAACAGGTCTTTTTAAAGGCATTTCCTGTCTCTTACACAAGTAATCCCTCTGAAACTTTTTCTTCAACCAGATAAAAGCATGTGATTGTATATTTGTCTTCAAATACTCTTCCTTGTTTTTCAACTTCCTTGTTTCTTATAACTTTGTTCAATGTGCTTTTTGGCTGTCCTTATTAAACAAAAAAGAAACAACTGTGTAAGCGAGAGAGTCTGAAGGAAAAAAAACGTTAATCATTTCTCCTTGTCTGTGTTTTATTTAAGAGATATGATGCCAGACTTTCTTGTGGGCTGTTAGGGAGTTTTAATTAGTTTGTTTATACTTTTTGACCTACCTCCCATGAAGCAGCTAATAAATTATATTTATATACAGGTGCTGGTCATAAAATTAGAATATCATGAAAAAGTAGATTGATTTCAGTAATTCCATTTAAAAAGTGAAACTTGTATATTATATTCATACATTACATACAAACTCATATATTTCAGATGTTTATTTTGTTTAATTTTGATGATTACAAATGACAACAAATGAAAATCTCAAATTCATCATATCAGAAAATTAGAATATTACTGAAGACCAATAAAAACAAAGGATTTATAGAAATGTTGGCCAACTGAAAAGTATGAACATGAAAAGTATGAGCATGTACAGCACTCAGTATTTAGTTGGGCCTCCTTTGGCCTGTATTACTGCAGCAATGCAGCGTGGCATGGAGTCGATCAGTCTGTGGCACTGCTCAGGTGTTATGATAGCCCAGGTTGCTCTAATAGTGGCTTTTAGCTCTTCTGAATTGTTGGGTCTGGTGTATTGCATCTTCTTCTTCACAATACCCCATAGATTTTCTATGGGGTTAAGGTCAGGAGAGTTTGCTGGCCAATTAAGAACAGGGATACCATGGTCCTTCAACCAGGTACTGGTAGCTTTGGCACTGTGTGCAGGTGCCAAGTCCTGTTGGAAAATGAAATCTGCATCTCCAAAAAGTTGGTCAGCTGCAGGAAGCATGAAGTGCTCTAAAACTTCCTGGTATGTGGCTGCGTTGACCCTGGACCTCAGAAAACACAATGGACCAACACCAGCAGATGACATGGCACCCCAAACCATCACTGACTGTGGAAACTTTACACTGGACTTCAAGCAACGTGGATGAAGTGCCTCTCTTCTTTTCCTCCAGACTCTGGGACCTTGATTTCCAAAGGAAATGCAAAATTTACTTTCATCAGAGAACATGACTTTGGACCACTCACCAGCAGTCCAGTCCTGTTTCTCTTTAGCCCAGGCAAGACGCTTCTGACGCTGTCTGTGGTTCAAGAGTGGCTTGACACAAGGAATGCGACAGCAGAAACCCATGTCTTTCATACGTCTGTGTGTGGTGGTTCTTGAAGCACTCACTCCAGCTGCAGTCCACTCTTTGTGAATCTCCCCCACATTTTTGAATGGGTTTTGTTTCACAATCCTCTCCAGGGTGCGGTTATCTCTCTTGCTTGTACACTTTTTTCGACCACATCTTTTCCTTCCCTTCGCCTCTCTATTAATGTGCTTGGACACTGAGCTCTGTGAACAGCCAGCCTCTTTAGCGATGACCTTTTGTGTCTTGCCCTCCTTGTGCAAGGTGTCGATGGTCGTCTTTTGGACAACTGTCAAGTCAGCAGTCTTCCCCATGATTGTGTAGCCTATAGAACTAGACTGAAAGACCATTTAAAGGCTTTTGCAGGTGGTTTGAGTTAATTAGCTGATTAGAGTGTGGCACCAGGGGCCATCAATTTTGAACCTTTTCACAATATTCTAATTTTCTGATATGATGAATTTGAGATTTTCATTTGTTGTCATTTGTAATCATCAAAATTAAACAAAATAAACATCTGAAATATATGAGTTTGTATGTAATGTATGAATATAATATACAAGTTTCACTTTTTAAATGGAATTACTGAAATCAATCTACTTTTTCATGATATTCTAATTTTATGACCAGCACCTGTATAGATATAGATTATATCTCTTTGTTTTTAACTCCTATGCACTTTGTTTAAAACTATTCTTAATCAGCTGTAAACTGCATTAAAGCCAAAGTCAAAAACTAATTATGCTTTAACAACCAAAACTTCTATTGCTTAAACAAGTATTGCTGTAAATAATAAACAAAGTGAAAGACAAGAGAGGGTGAGTCTCTTTTCTCTAAATCTATGATTGTTTTCCTTACCGTTCTGTGCCTGGTTCAGTTCTCTCTAGATTTATATAAATATTACTACAGTCAATACTACAACTGTAAGTTCTTTTTCTATTTACCCCTATTAGTTTTTTATGCTTCTGAAAAGTCAATTAAGTCAACATAAAAAAGTATTTTATTTACTTTAAAAAACACCTTAAATATTTACAGCCATTTAATGTATTTATTTACTTTTATATTATCATTCATGAAAGTGTTGACATAATTTGAATGAAAAGCCCTTCGTCTGACATTTGTGTTGATGAAAAATGCATTAATGCTTTTTAAACTGATACAGGGAAATTTGCTTTCTTTCCAGAAACAGGCCCAACTTTGCATTTTTACAATTAATCAGATTAATCATGATTAATCAATTATTGCAGTAATCGTCAACTGATTTAGTAATCGGTTCATTTAAGGGAGTATAGAGACTGCAAAACATGCCTTTAACTGACAAAGCAACCCACTTAGAGCAGGAATTATACAAAGATTTTCAAAAAAATAAGTAAAACTTTTGCATTTATGAAAAAAAAAAACTTTTGTCTGTCAATATGTTCTATCAAGAACTCCTCAAGTGGAAAAGTTTTAGCTTCACCTGGTTTAATTTCGTAAAAAGTCTTCTTTAAGGAACCTTTGGCTAAAAAAAAATCAACAGATTAATCGATCTGCAAAATAATTGTTAGTTGCAGCCCCAAAGTTAATCTCTTTCCTTTAACCCTTCATCACTTAACAATGCTATGAAACATAAAGACTGATAATGAAATGACTTTAATTTGGTTTCAGTTATGTTTTTCTAGTATTGCTAGTTGCTGGTTCCTATTATTAGATCCAAAAATCCATTCAAGAAAAACAATGCCATCACTTATGATTCACTGTCATACTGAAAATATTCTTCCAGAAAGGCTTTAGATAAATGTATTAATTTCTCCATCTCTAATTCAGTTTTCTTGCGATCTACTGCTGATAATGGGGGGATTGAGCATTGCATCATAACAAATCATTGAATATTAAGTGTTTTTACAACATTTGCAATATTTTTCCCATCTTACATCTAGTTTTATTGTTACCAATAAAAAGGAAAGCAATGCTGAACATAAGTTTTTTGTGTGCTGTATTCAAAATGGGTACCATTAATGCAGTTTAAATCTCCATTTTGCAACTTTCTCTTTTGATTGCTAATGATAAGTAATATTCTTAAGGTGGGTCATTTATTTGCAGTCTGATTGGGGAGTGTTTAGACCAGTGCGCTTTTGCTCTGAGATGGTTGCAAGAACCCAGTTCGATCCCCACAGCCTCCACTCTGGGTTTCTGAGCCAAACCCTTAACCCCACACTGCTCTGTGGGCGCCACATGATGGCAGCCCCAAGGGGATGGGTCAAAATGCAGAGAGTGAATTTCCCCAATGTGGGACAATAAAGGGATTTACATAAAGTGATCCCATAAGGACTTCCTGAGATAAAGCTTAGTAAATATAAAAACTTTACACCTGTATGTTCAGACTTTCATAACTCCTCTCCAATAAGGTCAGAAAGGGATTAGATAGGAGTCTAAGACTAAGATCTGCTCAACCTAATTATTACCACTGTGTTTTGAAGGCTTTTTTTTAAGTATCTGGAGCTCCTATCATTTCTTTATATTTTACCTTCAATGTGATTCTATTCCTTCCTTTTGTATTTTCATCCAGAATAAGAGAAGATAAACAGGGGAGAATATGCTATTTTAGTGGTAATTATAGCTCCTGTCTTTGTCCAAACAGAATACCACTCCAGGGAGGAGGACTGTATATGTACATGAGGTATGCCTGTCCTCTGTTTTCATAGAAGATTATAGAGTGCAAACAGACTAAAACAAGACAAACTTGACAACCTATGATCTTATCACGAAGCATATTTACTGTTATATAGGGAACCTGCCATATTTTTTATTAAAGAATAAATTTCATTGGATACTACAGTGTCTGCTTGAATGACTGTAGTTGGTGACAGTGTGTCTCCTTGTTTCTCTCTGCTCATATTGTTGTCTCTACCTTTTCCTCTAAATATAAACCAACCTAATTAGCTTTCCTCACTACTGTCTCTGTTAAAACAGGCTGAATTCATGTGATCTTCACAATTTCAATGCACAAGGATCTCCTGTGTTTAGGAAGGAAATGGGAAGAGGCCATTCTTCAGGTTGCAGGTTTTTTTCTCAAATTTTAATGCTTTCTGAGTCAGCACCCTTTTAATTATGTCGCAAGTTGGATGAAATTATTAAGCGATGTCGTCTGATTATAATCTAGATATTGAACAACTCTGGCCAGCTTAAAGGCTGAGCGTTCCACCTTGACGATATTGAAGGGGAATGCTTTTATATGGAGTGACCTGAGCCTCTGCTCCTGTGCTGATCTCTTCCTTTCTTTTTTTCTTTTTGAAAAGCAGCAGAATAGGCTGAAACCCAGGTCCATTTGTATTGTGGTGACAAAGGGAGACCATTGAGGCAAGAGGGTTAGCTGGGAGCTGCTGGTTGGAGGCAGGGGTGGTTAGGGTTATATGTGTGGGGGAGTTCACAGCAGAGCTGGTCAGAGTCTGATGCACACTTACTGTTTGAGTGTTATGGCTCGGAACGAACATTTTAAGTTAAATGCATGTTTTTCATGAGTGATGAGCTGCAAGTTGCTGCATTAGTCCAGCTGGAGGAGGCTTCAGTAGCGGAGCAGTAGCAACAGGGCGGGGGAAGTTGTTTTGGGAGAAGAAAGGGAGGGTGAGCGACAGGGAATCCAGCGCTCTGCCTCTCTCACGCTCTGAAGTTTAGTTAGTCTGCTCCAGCTGCCGACTGCACAGCACGCAGGAAAAGAGGCAGAAAGTCTGCAGACTGGGGGTGGAGAAATGGATCTGACCCTGGAACAGTTGATATCATGAGCGTAGAAGATCAGATCTGCATCCTGGAGTTGATTACAATATTTATTTATGTTTTGGATTTTCTTCTGGTGCCTAAATGCTGTCTCAGGAGAAAATGCACACCCGAGCGAAGTCTCGCAGCTGTGATAACTACCTGAGTATCAAGGTATGAACTTAAAACATCAGTTTTATAGACATAATTCTTTTATGGAGCATTTTCTGTCCTGTTTTTTTTTTCTGAATTAGTCTTAATCACAGCTTAATTGATGCTGTTTAATAACTACAGCCCAGGCCTGATTGTAAACAATCCCCAGATGGATGTTTTTGTTGTAGCAATGCACAGACAGCTGATATTTTGACTGCTTGCTCTGTAGCCAAAACATACCTTTCAGTTTTTTAAGCGTGCAATATGTGAACCTGAAGGAGGAACACCCCTGTGCCTGAAGTTGATTTACTCTACTCTTCACTTTACATGAATATCCATTGAATTTCATCTATTTTCTTCTTTTAAATATACATTTTCTTACTGCTTGAGGGTTCTATTACTTTTTGTTACAAAGAGAAGGCAGTCAGTCTCAAATTTGCTTCCTCCCTGGGATGTTGCTCTTTTATCAGCCCCTCAATTGTTTTTGGAGTGCACACATTCTATATTTACCCTGCTAAGGTATCAGCAGAGTTTGTGAGACCCCTTTGTCTCCATTGTTACCTCTCATGGTAGCTTAGGTCAGTTAAAGGAACCTCTTTTCCTCTTTCTTGTAGAACTTATTATTTACAAAGCCATAATGGAACACTTGAAGAACATGTGTTTTTATGGTGTCTATCGTGGGGTCTCTGTGGGGACTACATCCTGTCAGTCCTGTTTACATCCTGTTGGAAAAAGTCATCATTTCCAAACAGCAGACATAAGTCAAGTCTTCCTGATAAATACTGTGGGAACTTGTCAGGAAAAGTAACCCAATAATATTACTTTGAGTATATGGCTTAAACATTAAAATCACTTTGACTTTTTCTCATGGTATCATGATTCATGACCCAGATTTGATGTGATCAATCAACAAAAAGAGGAGCACGGCTCTGAGTTAGAGGATAGAGAATGAATGGTGCTAACTTATTTCCTATATAAAGAAATGCATGATGCTGCCACCACCATGTTTTGAGTGGTATAAGTACATTTGGAAGCCTCCCTTTTTTGCTTAGGAATAACATAGTTTACAGCCTTTCTTCTTGCAAGTCGCCATTGAAAGCTATCATTGCAGATCTAAATTGAAAAGGGCTGCTCAATGCCGGGGGTCTAACCTGGCTCCTTTGTTGGCATCCAGGCACCTGGCAGAGCAGGGCATGTCTGAGCATCCTGCCTGCTTTCATTGGCTCTGCTGCCTTTCAGGGCTGTTAGCAGGTTGGTTAGTCAGCAGCCAGTATGAGGGCTTCGGGGCTCTCCCGTTTCACTCCCCTGGTGACTTCATGCTCCACTGGAGTCCTGGTAGGCAACGTCTTTTGTGTCCGTGACCCACTAAATGTGTCGGTGACCACCTCGTGTTCTGTCTCTTTGACTCTCTGTGTCTCTCAATTTTCCTAGTTTCACTGATGCACTCCTATGGACACTACTTTAATTTTATTTTAAATTGCTCTTAAAGATGCAATATGCTAGAATAAGTATCTAAAATGAAAATAGAGTTACATTTTAGGTCCTATTTTTCCTTCAGGCTTTACTTTCATCTTCTCGCTGTGTGTGTTCACCTTGCAAACAGCTGTTTTTACCCACTGCTCAGACGATACCGTCCCACCTGGAACTCAAACCCAACAATTACCACCTCGGCCCTTCATCACATAGCCAGTAGTTTTACAAAGACCTGGCATCAAAAAGGGTGGGACTTCCCACTTTGCTCCCATCCTGGCTAAAGCTCCCAAGCCAGACACACACACACACACACACACACACACACACACACACACACACACACACACACACACACAAACACACACACACATACACACAACTGCATTCCACTGTGGCTAGGAGTGAACGGGAAGTCCAGCTTTGATGGCTGTGCTCAGTCCTCTTACTTTACTTACTTACTTTAGATATCCAGATATGTTTTATTCTTTCTTTTTTTATGGTCAAAGATGATGATAGGAGCAAAAGCTTAGTTTCCTATAAACTCTGAAAGGTATTACCTACAGAGAGATGAGCTAATGGGGAATCATCATTATTATGTTCTGAAGCTCTCTAAGTTTGTTGCATTTTGTTGATTTGCACATAGAGCCACTCCTGCACGATGAGTTGTCTCTGAACTGTAAATGAACTCACATTTCTACTCTGTTAAGTAACTGTACTTCAAAACCCTTCTTCTTTCACCAACACATTTTTTCTTTCCTTTGAAACCTGAAGACAAACTTGTCAGTCAGTCCTAGCAAGGGCTTTCCTCCTATTGTTAGCTCACCACTAATAAAAACGCTGCCTTATTCTTCTCCCCTTGGGCGCAACAGTGACTAATGCCCAGAGAAATGTTTTGTCTCACCAAAGCAAGCTGACTGCTAATGGAAGTAGGCGTTTTTGTTCCCGGGCACCAGCACTGTACAGCACATGCCACTTAGAGAGGAGGAGTAAACAATGAGGGCCTTGTTGCAGGGTCGTAGCTTGTCTCCAAATGAGCTGAATTATACTCACTCTCCTCTAATTGATGATGTTGAGCTGCTCAGACGAACTGGACAGATCCTACAAAGGGCTAAAACATAGGCTGTCCAACTGGTTGAAACTCTAAAGGGTGTCTCTTGATTTCTAGATCGCATTTTATGCATGTGTATTGTCATGTAAATATATAAGCTTCAGAGACAGTAGCGTGAAAAACTATAAGCCTTGCACTTGAATGTGCTGCTGTTATGGTGTCTAACTTTTCCTGCAGTTGAACTGTATCTGGATGCTTATCGTGGGAGACAGATGTCTCTATTCCACTGTTGTGTTCCACTCAGGAAGGACAGATAGTGGGTGCGATGTTTGGCCTTGGCTGTGGCTAATCCGCGGAAGGGCACAGCGTGAACCATGAAAGCAACCCACACTGCAGGTCAGCCTCATTCAGGACCTCAGTATTCTCCAGTGCCTCCTCTCACCGTCAGACAGGTTGTAACTAGCAGCGTTGGACATTTTATGATCTGTCGGTGGCGAATTGTGGTGGTGGAGGTCACGTTTGGGTCTGATGATGATGTGTGATGACCCTGTTGTTATTACAGAATTACAATCTCGCCTAAAAAAAAACAGACTAGTCTGGACTTTCCAGTTTGGTTGTCTGTATGTGATGGCGGTGACGTTACTCCGACCAGGTGTTTCCCGTCGCTTGGATGCTCTAATTTCCTGACTACTCAGCTAATCCTGCACAGGGAATCATGTGCCTACAGCTCATACTTTAGTTTTATATATCTATACTTAGCAGATAGTCTGTTGTGCAAAAGTTTTAAACCAGTTCATCTTACATTTTGAAAGGCACTGTTTGATTTGTCGTACAGGGTTTTCCTGTAGACTTTACCTTGTATATCACCTTTTTTTTAATACCATTTTTAGTTTAGTAGCTAAGGCATATAGAGAATAATCAGATAATGTCAAGTTAAGCTTGAAAACTATTACTTTCCTCCTAGTAAGTTTTTCTTTGTTGATTTGTTAAAAAAGTTATGTGCCTCTTCATCTTCCGCTTTCTTGAAGAAGGTTTAGGGTAAAAAAAACAACAACAAAAAACCGTTTGGAATCCATGCATAGACAAAAAAAAAAAAAAAAAAAAGAACATTTCCTGCTAATGAAAAGCCAGCCCCAGCCAATGATCCTGCTACTACTATATTTTGATGTTAGTATGGTGATGCTGTGTGAATCGCTTCTTTAGTGCTTAATTATCCTTCTGACTTGTAACCATAAAGCATTCTCCCACAATATTAGATAGATTTTAGCCAATAATCTTTTTTTTTTTTTTTTTGTTTAGAGAAAAATGCTTCTGTCTTGCAACTCTACTCCTTAGCCTTGATTTATGGAAATTACAGCAGATTATTGTCATATGCAGATTATAAAGAGTTCACTCCTGCACTATCAGTCTTCTGACTGACACCTTTGCATAGATAGATCATCTGGATCCTTTGTAATCTTTCTGCAAATTCTTTTGCATGAAGGATGTATATGTGGATATGTTCAACACATTTCCACATATACAACAAATCCAATAGAGAAAGCTGAACTATGTTTCTAGTTAATTAGATTCATTGTAATAGAGGACATGTGTGAACAGGAATTAAAGTGAGTGAATCATATGTGTTGATGTGTTGACATGTGTGTTTTTCCAAGCAGGCTGACAAAAACATGTAACTTTTAACAGCCGTGTTAACAGAGACCCTCTGTATGTTTTCCTCAGGACGCAGAATCTTTGGACAACTGCATCCAGAGCACCTTGTCTGCGTTGTACCGCCCCTTCAGTGGCACCGCTTCCACTGTCCTGTGGCAGCTCTTCAGCGTGGTGGAGAGGCAGTACCGTGGAGATGGCCTCCGCTGCCTCATTGACTTCTTGATTCCTGCCAAAAGGATCCTGCAGATCATCCAAAAGGAGAGCTGCGTGAGTGCTTCACTGGACACGGTTAAACGGAGGAATCTCAGACTGGGCACTGTGATTGATCTTAACCTATATCCTTGAGCATAATTTATTTCAGAGACTTACTGCTGTACTGATGGACTCAGATTTCCTTCTTATGTTTTATGTGAAATATGAAACTTAAGAGGAAAAGACTTGAACAATACAGCTGAGGGTGAAAAGTTGTGCTGAGTAGTATGAGGCACTGAGAAACAGTTGATTAATGACCTTAAACAGAAATAGAAGGAAAAAGGGTGCAGAGTGAAACTCAATATTTCTTTTACTTTGACTGCTACTGAGTTAGGACTCTTTAGACCAAACCACTGTAACTTTATTCCACTGTATTCTACTCTCTTCTGATTACACTGTGACGATAGCCACAGAGCAATAGTTTCACATAAGCCTGGCCCCTGAGAACATCCAGCTATGCATGAGAGTCTTTGTACTGCAGGCAATATGAGAGCTTTCAGGGGGAGCTCACCTCCTCAGCCTTTTTCCTCGGTTTTTATAAGAGATTAAAGAAGCTAGAGCGCTGAATTTTTGGGTCTGTCTTTTTTTTTTTCTGTTAATGCCCCCCTACAGCAGAGATTTGTGCTGCAGTGGCAGCGAAACTAGGCTTGATCAGACAGGTTTTTTTTGTCTTAAGCTGAATGATTGCAGAGAGTGATTCATCCAGAGCGTACTGTAAAAGTAACCTGCCTCTCCATTACAGCTAAACATGTGTTTGAACAGCTTTGCGGATGTAAATTGAATTGAGCTCAAATGTTAGGAGATGAACCACTACTAATGATAGCATGTTTCAGTAAATTGGAATTTAATTGATTCCTCTGCTTTCTCCCAGGTGAGGTTCAGAGGCCTGCTGTTCTATCACGAAGGGTGGCCTCTCTGCATTCACGAGAAAGTTGTCCTCCAACTTGCGCCGCTGCATAAGGTTCGACTAAAGCAAGGGGATTTCTACTTGCAGATAGTTCCTTTAGGGCGCAAAGCTGCAAAGCTGGTGATAAAATGCCTGTCTGCCAGCGGGCAGGCCATCGCAGAGATCCCCATTCCAGAGAGCATGTATGGCAGCGTCTTCACAGCTGAGTTCCTGCAGAATGTGACACGGGATCGAAACCTGCACCCTCTACAGAACTGCCTGCTCACCACTGGTACGGTCGTGTTCAAGACGCCGTGGAAGAACGTGGTTAATCCGCTGTTCATCAACAGCACGGCGGACGCCATCATGCAAGCTCGCTGCAGCAGCAGAGGCAGCTTCAGGGCCCATCTCAGTACCTGCAGCACCAGCGGCTCCACCGGGACTCTGGACAGCCATCGCAGCTCCAGAGAGTCCCTGGTCTCTCTGGGAGCTGACTCCATCTTCCTAGAGCCCACATCCCCAAAGAGAAACCACACAGACTCAAGCGGTGAGAACCAGAGTATTTTTAGGGAAAAACCTATAACACCAATCATTAAAATAGAGGGACATGTGGAGGATTGTGGTAAAGAAGGAGGAGAGGAGGACAATGATGAAAAAAAAAGGGAATCGGGGTTGAGTAGGCTCTCCTTTGATACAGACCTCATTAATCCAGACCTTCGACGACGCCCAAGAGACTCAGTTGGGTCCAATGGAAGCAGCAGGAGACGTTTCAGGGAATCCTACATGGAGGCCCTGCAGAACCCAATGACCCTCGGGTCCAGCTCTGAATCCATTTTGGAGGAAAGCCCTGAACACAGCACTGGCTCCAGAGAGCGAGCCGTTACACCTGGGAGCAGTCCTGACACCCGCACCTCTCCCAGAGAACATTTAACCTGGAAGTTTGGCAGTCGAAGTTGGCTCACTGGTGATGAGTCCAGGCCCAACACGCCTCTATTTTACCTACAGAGGGGGCTACGGAGTGCTGAGAGGCGGGCAGACCGACGCTCTAAGTCACTGGAGAGGACTAACAAGGCAGGCCAGGTTAAAGGCCACAGAGAGCGATCCTCCTCTGGAGGCTCAACGGGTGTTTCTCCCAAGAAACTGATGAACGGTTACGCCTTGCGCTTTGGGAAGCTGGATGTGGAGGCTGTGTTACCTGGGAATGAGAGGAGAAGCAGCAAAGAGGACACAGGTATGTCTTGAAGTACAATTTTAACCTCACTAACTCCCAGTAAGCATTTTTTTCACATTTTCACAGCAAGTTGGGTGACATTTTTCCACAATGTTTTTTCTTTCTAAAATTCAGAGAACTAATATCTCTCTGAAGGTAAGCAGAGTAGACTTAACTACAGTGCTACTTATTGCTGTTTAATGTCATGTATTAATGCACTGTATATACTTCATGCACCTTTTCCTCCTCTGTGCACCTCCTGTTGTTTATAAGAGATGATGTAACAAGTAAATTTCTTCATTGTGAGATCAATTAAGTTCTATGCTATTCTGTTCTATTCTATTCCAAATACTCTAAAACGAGAATGCATCTCCAACCTACATAAATTGTTTCCGTTTATAACAAGTAATCAAATCAGGTAAATCCTGCCAAATTTAATTAGAATGGTTTAATTTATTAATTTATAAACTGAATAAATTAAGGTGGATCGACTTAATTTAGTTACTTGATGTAAAATTAAAGCAATTTGTTAAAGTTGATGCTGTATTCTCTTTTTAGACTGTAGACCAACGCAAAGAAGAGCATAATCATAAAGTATTCGAAAAGGACATACGTTACCAGCAGAGACACAGTTATTCTCTGCAGTAGTTCAGCTCAAAGGACTGAGAATCTAATATTTGGTGGCTTTATAAAATCAGGTCCTATGCATTCAAACTCTGCTTCCAATAAATATGTTGGACTGCTTTCCCTTGAGATACCATGAATCTCCCCTTTATAGAAAAGGACAACTAAATAGAAATAAACAAATAAATTTCCTTTATAAGCCATTGTATAAACAGAGTCCACATGTGTTTAAATCCATTTCATCTCTGTATAAATAATCCTGCTCCATATTATAGAGCTTTAAGGCCTGTCAGGGAGCATTAGTGAGCGGAAAGCATGATGAAGACCGAGGGACACAGTAAAGAGGTCAGGGAAAAAGTCATTAAGCTCATAAGTCGCTGTTTGATCCATTCTTAAAAAGTTTTTAAAATTTTTGTGTTGGTCAGTCACATACATCCCAATGAAATAGATTGAATGTTGTAGTTGTATTCTGCCTCAGCGTGAAAGCGTACAACTGGTGTCAATCCATTTTGGACCAAATTTATAAAATGTATTATAGCTGCTTTCCCTGCTATTAGTTTACCCAAAATCCCTGCTACTAGTTTACCCATTTATTTTAAAAAAGCTGTTAAACGCAATGACTGTGCCACTTCCAGTCCTTTTGGCGCCAGCATCTAGATCAAGCTCAGTGTTTTCCTTGGAAATTGTTAGAAAAAGTTGGAGCAAAGAATACAGCAATATGGTTGTTGAAAAAAAACACAAAAACATAAATAAATTCATTTTGCCACAAGTAAAATAAAAAAGGTAAAAGGTAAATTAAGATAGGGGACTTGTTCTCCTATTGGCATGTTACTGCCGTTTATTGTGAGCTATCCTTATTTACACCTTTATCCTCACGTACACCTTGCTTTGAGTCTAAATCCTGTTCTGAAATGTGCATTAATACCTGACAAGATAATTGCCCTTAAGTCACAAAACCCTCTTCTCCCTGCTAAAAACTTTACCTAACTATCTTACAAATCTGTGCAATCATTTCCATTTAAGAAACTATGCATCTGTGACCTAAACAGAGGAATTTTACTCCTGTTTTCCTGACTATAATGACTCCTTGACAAGCTTTGCTTTCTCTAACACTATTTACATCATGATGACTTATCACTCATCAAATAATACCCCCTGAGCTTATGCAAACCTCAAACTAATAGCAGGGTTTGCAGGAATGCCCTGCAGCAGGACTGGTTGCAACAGTTCATCCGATGGCAGAGTAGAGACAGCCCACGTCTCTGGGGCTTTAATACTCTCATTAATGAGTGATTGCTTTTTTTTAAAACCCACACTCTGTGTTCTTTGGCATGTTTAGAGAGGCAGGTATGGCCCTTCCCTGGAAAAAAGTTTTGATCTGAAGCCTATGTTTTCTTTGCCGCCATATGTCTGTTTTGTTTTCTGTCGGTCTGCCATGGGTGGCACAGAAAAACAGAGATTTGAAGATACCAACCTCTGAAATGACACTGTTTATAAATTCATCTGGTTCTTCCATGAATTGTGAAAAACGCACTAAAAGGTGAACACGACCTGCTAAATCTCTGACAGCAGTCAAGAATATCACCGAGGGAGACATTTATCTAATGAAATACTGATCATTTAAAAGGCTGTAGTTAAAGCTCATCACTCTTGCATTTGTGGCGGTACTCAAGAGGGAAACATATATCAGCTTTCGGAGTTGAATTTCTCACAGTAAAGATTCAAAGCCAACAAAGGATTCTGTAAACCCTGTAAAGTGACCATAGGGACCCCTACATCCTACAATGAGATGACGCTGTACACCATTGGGGTTGCTGGGGGACGAAATGATCCCATATAGCTTCCCTCTTTTACAAAAGTGTCCTTTGTGAGACAAGCAGCCACTGGGGATCTATGGAAAGAAAATGGCTTTAAACCATGGTGATATCCAACATGTATTATTACCCAACCTCTGCTAAAAAAAAAAAATAACCAGGGATCAATCTCTTATAATGATAATCTAATATTTAGACTACGTTTTGAGGAAATACAGGATGAAACGTGTCACTTCCTCTCGAAACAAAGCGTTTTAGGAAACATGCAGCAAACACAAGCACAGCTCCACAGGAAATACACTAACTGTCTGAAGACAATAGAAGCTGATCAGGGAGGGTTTACCGTCGCAAAGCTCAGCAGGACATTTCAAGAGGCCCCCGTACTTTTAAAAGGACAACACACAACAGCCATCTATCAAATCGCAGATAAACAAAATTGATATGGCCCTTAACTGGTAATATGACATTTTAAAAAAAGTTTCAAAACATTTTTGTCATACCCAAACATTAAGCTTATTGTTCTTCTAATTAAATATAACTGAGCATAACAGAGTTAACAGGCTGTTTCTATTTTTTTTCTATTATTCTTCAAATGTATTAATTCAACTTTCCCCTTTTCCACCTGTTGCTGTATAGAAAGACAAATTTTGGTGTAAAGTATCTCTGTTTGAGTATAATATAGAAAGTCATAATGTGGGAATTAAAGAAGTGGGATTTGTCTTTTCTCATTCGGATAAAACTCTTAAGCCCAGAGATAAAAGACTAAATTTCCTTAAAAATAGATGAAAGCAGGCTGGCTTCATGAACAAATTACCTGGGGTAATTAAACAGATAGTTTCAACTTATTAACATTTTTTTATTATTATTATTATTATTATTCTATAAGAAACAGAATGACAATACTGCAAAAATAAATATACCTGGTAATGTAGAGCATGTTTATTGTTTCCTTTTTTTAATTTGAAGAAGAGCCAAATGCAGTAAAAATGCAATTTTTTTTGTTTAAAGTTACATTACATTGAAAAATCCAGCAAAAGTCCAACCATAACTACAGTCAGAATAAGATGTCACCAGTGAAGAGCAGTTTGATGCATGTAATCTGACAAATGAAAATATTGTAAACCAAGATGGAATCATAAAATATCATAAGATTAACTTTGTCATAAGTTGTTTATTATTCAAAAATCGAAAGCTTGTGAAAAACTGAGAGCACAACTAAAAAAAGGCTAGATTATAGGAAAAAAGCATGTAAAATCTCTAAAGTTGATTATTAAGGATATATTTTCCTTTAATGAAGCCAGGAATAAGATGGTTCAAACATCAACATAAGATGGGTCAAACATCAAAATTTTCATCAGAATGAAATAATAAATATATAAATAAATACAGTGTAGAATGCAAAAAGTTACTGTTAATTGTGGCGTGACTCATAATGGGCTAAAGTTGAGTTGACAGCTTTATTTTATTTTGATACTGTAAGTTTCACCATTTCTCATCTAACAGACCATAAAACTATGGTTTCACCGACAACATCACATTGGCATTAGAATTCTTTGTAAATCCTTTCTTGTCCCACAATGAAGAAATTCACTCTCTGCATTTAACCCATTCCCTTTGGGAGCAGTGGGCTGCCATTGTGCGGTGCCCAGGGAGCAGTCTGGGGTTAAGGGTCTTGCTCAGGGTCCTAGATCAATTTCATGAGCTCCAACATGGGGTAGCTTATCCTTTGAGATTAAGCTTGAAATGCGTTGGTGTTATACTCAAGTTGTTTAGATCTTCCTTCATGTAACCCTCCAAAAAACATACAAAAAACAAAAACAAAGTGAAAATCTGGATGGAAAATAAAAGTCAGAAAGACATTGATAAATACCACTATTTCTAAAGTTAAACTTTTATACATTTTATAATTTATTTAAGTTTGTTTGGCCGATCAACTCTAATTAATACACCAACACTAGGGAACTTGAGTCAGCTCTTATTGTGTAAAAAAAACTATTTAGCAATATAATAATTGTATATAGTAAATCTATCTATAGCTCTTCTATCACTGTTGATGTTTTTTTAATGCAATGTTTTTGCTGTGAAGTAAACGTCCACTAAGTGAGGTAGTTAGGATGATGTTTGCAGTCTGTTTGCTGCCTTGGGAACTGGATTAAGGCTGTAACATGTTGAACCACATGGGAATGTCAGACCATCATTCCTGATGACAGAGCCTCCGGGTAGACTGGGTTGGAGAAGAGAAGGTGAAAATATGAAGGTCTAATAACTTCAGACTTACCTGTGACTCAGAAAACCCAAACATCTGGACTCCATGGTGACTCAGGGTGAACTCACTAATAGATAACATCTATTTCTGCACCGATAACGACTACTTTTATGTAAAAAAGGATTGTGAAAGGGAAACCTCTAATTGAAGTTTATAGTCCAAACAACGGTGAAGCTCTCAATGGAATCAATCACTGTTTGTGTTTATTCCTACAGGTCAGCGTAGTGACGGCACTGGCAGTGACATTAGAAGGCATAAATCCACGTCTGACGAATCACAAACTCCACACAGTCACAAAGCAGCAAATGGAATGACTCTAAGTCCTGGTTGTGCTCAGAACGCTCCCTGTGATTATAATTCAGCCTTTCCCAAACTGATGTCAGAAATTAATCAAGAGCTGCTCACATCAGGAGCTGTCATCTTACCAGGTAAGAAGCTCTTTACTCTCTCATAGCTAGGCTTTCCTTAACTCTTTCTTTTAAAGTGGTTGAGATCAGCAGTCAGTTGTAGAAATTGTAAAAAAAAATTCAGCAGATGTTTCTGTCCAATAACTGATCATTATGGAACATGGAAATGAATTATTTAGGCATAATAAAGGCCCAAATGTTCATTTACCTCGGGCTGCAACTAAAGATTATTTTGCAAATCAATTAATCTGTCTGTAATTAAATAATCTGTCGATTATTTTTCTGATTAATCGATTAATAATCGGCTGGCCAAAGTTTCCTTAAAGAAGATGTTTTACAAAATTAAAACCAGTTGAAACTAAAACGTTTCCACTTGAGGACTTCTGGATAAAACATATTTATTTTCATCATAAATGTATAAAACATTTATAAATTTTTTTTACAATCTTTGGTCTCTAAGTAGGCTGTTCTGTCAGCTAAAGGTATGATTTACAGCACATATGTCAAAGGTAGGCCTGCAGGCAGGATCCTCCCTGCAAATTGTTTATCTTTGGCCCCCTGGATGATATATAATTACCATTAGAACCGGCCCACAGGCCACGGCTGCTTGTACGCGCTGCTGTGACTTTGCGGGCTACCGTTGCATTGTGGGGAATGTAGTGTCGGTGCGGCTGTGTTGCACGCACTAACACTACATTCCCAAGGGAAAGAAATTATTGTGTTTTTATTTTACTTTAATTTGTTTTTTGTCCTTTGCATGTTTGTATTGTTTTGGTTTTTGCTTTTTCCCCTTTAACAATCCAGTCTGCAGAGGCTGATTGAAGCCAAAATAAAAGGAGCCTGGATGGAGGAAGGATCGGAGCTCCTGCAGGTGATAGAAACGGACTCGCTGCTGAGCGAGAGGTGGGATCCGCATTATTCTCTGATCGAGACAGGCACGGATCCCTGCCCATACTGTGCCGTTTGTTTACCTCCCGGTATTCTGTGCCTGGCGTTCGGATCCCACCTGCCCCAAGCTCGGTAGCATGTCTGTCTCTATCACCTGCAGGATCAGCTCCCCTCTCCTTCCATCCAGGCTCCTTTTATTTTGGCTTCATTCAGCCTCTGCTGACACCTGCGCGAAGCAATTGCACAGCGCAGTTAGTGTGCACGCCTCCTTCAGCCCAGTGTGCTTGGATTGTTAAAGGGAGGAAATCAAAAACCAAAACAATCCAAACATAATTTACAATGCATGCAATTTCATTAATGTATTTATTTTAATAAGTTTATTAATATAATAAAAGTTCATTAATTATATTGATATTAATATTTTGTTTTTTTAAAACAATGTGTTAGGTGTTGGTTCAATAGGCTATGTTCATTTCAATATGTTTTAATAAACAATTAACCAGTCCGGCACTCGGCTTGTAGAAAATTTGTTTTTTTAGGCCCTTGGTGTATTTGACTTTGACATCCCTGATTTACAGCCTCTAAACTCTGGTTAACGATTAATCGATAACTAAATTAGTTGACGCTTATTTCAACAATCAATTAATTACGTGTTTCAGCCCTATATATACCTAAGAATTAAGCTGACACCTTTTACACAACTTTTACATGTTTTTACATTCATTATTAAACAGAGCCAGCTGCTTAAAAGGCTGTTATGGTCTGATTTCTTTTGTTACATAAGAATGACCAATGTTATCACTATTGACCTAATTCTTTAATTAAAATTGATTCCCATTAATATGTTGGACTTGAACTTTTGGAAAACATTACATACATACAGTGAGCGATCAGTTAAAAGTTAAGTGCTGTTGTTGCACAAATTAGCGATTTTGCTCTTGTTCTTGGCCTTAAAGCTACAGTGTGTAATTTTTAGTGACATCTAATGTTCAGACTGCAGACCGCAGCAACATGAACATCTCCCCCCCACCGCTTCTCCCCCCCAACAGTACGGCGAGCGTTACGGGACAAAATGTCTTCCACGACGTCCGCATCACCTACCTTCTCAAGTGATGAGGTTTGTTTACATAGATAATTTAAATACTGCCATCTATTGTTCAGTACCGTCTCAGTTCATCTCTCTCAACTTGCCGTAGTTACTTTCGAGCGTAATGGGCGATCTCGCAATCGCTAGTTTGTTGCCTCTGCGCTGCCGTAGCGCAAAGATGTCTGCCTCCATGGCTGCGAGACCCGCTCCTATGTAATTATAAATTATGAATTCTAAGGCAACGCAAATATTAAGGTTAAGAGGCTGAGCTCGTAGATGATGATAAATAACATAGTTATGTATAATATATTACATTTCTGACTGTATATCCCTGTAATTATTACACACTGTAGCTTTAAGTCCAGATTTTAAAAGTCCTTTCCTTTTCTTGGAAGCAATGGACTGATTTTTTTTCTCCAGGCCAGTAAAGGCCACAGCACATTGTCTTCTTTTTAGTGCAACTAACTTGAAAACATTGTCGCCGAAAGAGAGAGAGAAAAGAAAACATGCGGAAGACCCATTTTCCATTGGAAATATTTTACATATTTCAGTTTCTGTGTGTTCAATAGGCAGAAATAAAGGCTAAGTTAGTTAATTTCTCCACCTCTAGACTTTAGAATATAATAGACAATCTCTTTATTGTCCCACAATGGGAAAATTCTGGTGTTTACAGCAGCAAAAAATTATTGTAAAAGTGGTCACACAAATGTGGAACTATATAAAATTTATAAAAATAACATAATACTGAAGAGTAAAAAATAAAAAATAAATAAAACACTGTAACGTAAAGTCTTTATACAATATAAATACACCTGGAGAATAAATAACAACATACAGCGGTGGACATTTTTCAAAGTAATGGATTTTTGAAAATAGCTGTAAAATCAGAGATTTGCACAAATGACAGAAGCATGTTATTTAACTAAGATAGAAACTGTGCAAAAATCAGCATAAATGTAACAACAGCTGCTAGGAGGAAGGATGTGTGATAACGCTCCCTGGTGCATTTAGGGTGCAGCAGTTTGTCACCGAAGGAGCTTTCCAGTTCTGCAACAGCTTCATGCAGAGACATTATCCAACAGAGATGTTAATTAGTTAGGATCTTTTTATTTCCTCCTCTTAGATGTAGGCACTCTTCAGAACTTTCTCGTTTTGCATTTTGAACTTTCTGAAATGCTGGATTTTCTTCCAGTTTTAAGAAGTGACTTTCATGACATAGTTATATGCTACTTGTTGGTTTGTTTGTTTTTATTCACCAACTGCACTATATAATATGCGAATATTCTACACAGTACTACAGTAATGCCTGTTAAATTTTCTGATATTTTGTGGCATTGCAAGCTAAAACTCAGGTTTTTATAAGAAATTTAGGCAAAAAAAAAAAAAACTGTGGTGGCTTGTACCTGTGTTTAATCCCTTGCAGTATTGGATTGCATGTTTTGTTGCCTTGTGGTTCCTTTGTACCTCTGGTTCTATGAGAAGGGTTATTCTTCTATGTCTCAGTTGTTTGGCTGTCATTTTAATTGGAAGGACATTTCTTATTTTATCTGTAGTTTTTTAATACTTGAAAGATGTCAAACCCTAACTAAAACCCTCTTTAAATATCTGCAATTTGATTGCTGACTTGTCTGGTGCGCCCCTTTGCCTGTTAGGCACTAATAGACTATTAAAGTGGAATATCAAGGCAATAGGATGCACTGGATTTCATTGAGGGGTGTCAGAGTAAATGGGATTGATACATATTAATCTCAGAGTTATTTTGAGAACCATTTATAATTTTCCTCATACAACACTACTACTAAGCACTATTTTGCTGTCGATCGATTACAGGAAATCCCAACTAAATATGCTGAGTCACATTTTCTTTCTGCCAGGAAACCGAGACCGTGGGGGGAGACCAGTGCTGCAGGTGTGCACAAGAGCTCAGGTGTGGGCGAGTGAGACATGCACAGTCAGCGATGTAACATGTTTACTGGGCTATTACCACTCAACGCTGAGGTATGTCACACGTGTTTGGGTTATTTCACTATTGAACCTAACCAGATAGTTGTACCAACTACAAATGAAAATTCATTGCCTCTATACAAATTGGCTCTTTTGCAGCTCATACAGTTGTTACTGCCTTTCCACACCTGTTGTTATAGAATTCCGATATTTACACTTGTAAAAAGTTTAACATACTTAAATCTAAATAAGTACATTTTCCTTAAATTAAGTGCATTTTTTCTTGAATTAGCAGGTAAGTGAGACACTTTGTCAATGGAATAAGAAAATTTACATTTAAAATACAAAAAAAACAAACTTCCATCCATCCATCCATCCATCCATCCATTTTCTTTACACGCTTAATCCCAAGTGGGGTCGTAAGGGGTGCTGGTGCCTATCTCCAGCTGTCAATGGGCGAGAGGCGGGGTACACCCTGGACAGGTTGCCAGTCCATCACAGGGCCAGTCTCAGATCTTAATTGCATAATATATGTCTTATTTTAAGGCTAAACATACTCATTCCATTGAAAGATCATCTTATTTATCTACTCAAATCAAGGGTAAATATCTATTATAAAATACTTATTTGAAGAATTATTTTACTCTTTTTAAGATTGTTTTTGGAGTGCAGCATTGCACACTGCAAATATTATCTAAAAAAAATAAATCAGTAATAATTTCCTAAAGTAAGAGTATTAATTCATATTTAATTTGAGTAGATAAATGAGATGACCTGCAATTGAAACAACAATATTTACCCTTAAAATTAAAAAATCTGATATTTTTTTATTACATTATGCACTTCAAAAAAGAGACTGCAGTCGCTTTTCTTATTTTAAATCTAAATTGTCTTATTCCATTGACAAGTGTCTCCCTAATCTGTTCAATTCAAGAAAAAAATGCACGTATTTTCAGAAAATTGACTGACCTAGATTTCTATTTTCTGCAGTGCACTGCCTGTCTTTTTCTTAAGAAAAGGAGAAAAGCTGCACACTAACTGTATTGTTTTGTTTTAGGAAAGAGAGGCGGGATCAAGGTCTGGCTGTTGTAATAGACAGCAGAAGGCAGTCGCCTGTCCCAGCTCTGTTGGAATCTCTGTTTGAATTTCAGGTGAGCCCTCTGTGGAAAGCATGCAATTACCCTCCAACACGCCCAAAAGCTCTTTTTCTCTCCGCCCTGCTAAAACACTCCACCACGATTCCATCTTATTTCTTACATTTTTGCTATTGTTCTGCCTCTCAGCCTCCGACACGGTGCGGTTTGGGTTTTTGAATTTTTTTGAAGAGGCACACCTTAAAGTGTATGGTCTCTGTACTTCCAAGACATATTTTTAAAAAAATGTCTGACCTCAGGGCTCTCTCGCCGAGGCCTGTCTTTACTTGTCTGTGTCTAACCACCAGCTGGGAGCTGGTTTGCTGCAGCTAAAGCCAAAAGATACATATCATCATGTTATGGTTGGGCTTTTCTCTGTCATCTTACATTGTTTTTTCCTTTTTTTTAGCTTATTGTTATATGGGGTTTCGGTTTATTCTGTTTATTAGAAGCATAAAACTCTTTGTTCTTGTTTTTATCAGGCATTAGCCCCAGATGCACTTTATTCAGTTCTGTTATTGGTGGACAAAGACGGATCAGCCAAACTGGACCGAGACATCGGCGTTCAGGTAAAAGTAACATGAAAAGTCTGACCAATTCTATTATGCTGGCTTTTCTAAATGAGCCTAAAATTTATTTGTTACTCTTTTATCTTTTTACTACATGCCCTGATGACTGAGATTAGCGCTGTGCAGGAATCGGCCTGCAGGCATTTAAATCTGCTGTTTCTCTGAGGAAAACATACGAGCGGCATACTTTGACGTAGACCTTTTTTTTTTCCTTCTCTTTGGCACAGACTGAGGCGCTCTCATCCCTGAAGGCACTGCTGAAGCACATCGACCAAACCCAGCTGACACGAGACCTGGAGGGCACCTATCTTTATGACCACAACCACTGGATCAGCTTCAGACAGGTGGGACTGATGCAGGCACTTTTGCTGTTGCTAGAATCATAAACATATTCGTGCACCTGGTTTTATGAGGCTGAAGAGGCCTAAATGTTTCTTTTCTCGCTTGTATTGTAAATTTTTATTTGCATAGAAAGATTATTTAGACAGCCAAAGTGGCGTACAGTTACAGACAAAGACCCGCGAGCTTGTCGAGGCATGATTGGTTTCACCTGAGTCAATAGTTCTGTTTTACTGTTTATGATAATAATCCATCACAATCTCTGGTTGTTTCGTTTTCTTTTCCCGGCAGAAAATTGAACCGTTTGCCAGTAGCTGTAGGGCGGCTATTTGTTTCCTCCAGGAGTCTATCAGAACACTAAGTGTTGCTGGAGACCTCAAGACATCTAAGGTAAGGCAGCCCTGTGGATACAAGAGAAGCTTTGTGATACATTTGGAAATCTAATTTATATATCACATTCTTTAACCTCAACTTTACTACAACTTTACATTGTCCCACAAATTCACAACCCTTGAATGTCTTTAAATTGAGTCAATTTGAAACCCACTTTTAATGTGTTTTATTGGGATTTTTTCTTTCAAAGACAAACTTAACTCAAAATATCAGAAATCAAAAAGTAAGAAAGCAGTCTTTCTGATTTGGATTTAGATCTTATGGATTAATGCAGCTGTTCTGGGAAGGTCTCAGAGGTCTGTTAAAGAAAATCAGAGCACAAACGACATCATGAAAAACCAAGAAACCAATTATTAGACTCCTTATAAGTGCAAAGCAGGTTCAGCTGTCAACCTGCCAGGAGACGACGTCCCTCCAAACCGAGAGAGGATTATTGTGCACCCATTAGTCCTCTGAAGTTAAAGCTTCCTACTTCTATGCTATATATATAAAGAGAGAGAGAGATAGAGAAGGAATAATAGATAAGTCGTTCAGAGGTCACTTGTTTACAGGATAATGTATTTCAGTGCTGTGTACAGTATGTGCACATTATATTGTGTAGGACAGTGTGTTTGTCAAAAGCTACGTTTACATGCAGAAAATTTCCCATGAACACTAAATAAAATCATCCAGTCATGAGATGTGTACATGTACCAAGTGTTTAATCAGATTAAATCATTTAAGCACGAGCGGATCTGTCTAATTTTCTGGAAAAGCTTTAGTAGTAGAAGAAGCTACCTGTTTTGTAAACAAACTCCTTGTCCACTCATCCTCAACTTTAGCTGCTCTTTCCGCCTGCCCAGCACATTTCGTTTTCTTCAGTGCATACAATTTTTTTATCATTATGGTGAGCTAAGCAAACACTGCTTCGCTATAGGAGTAAAGGGCAGGATGGCATGTTAATCCACAGGTATAAACAGTGGAAATTATTTTAATTCAAAGATCCATATGGGTGTTTACATAAATGCAAATAAGAAAGGCGATGGGAAAATATCTCTCAGAATTTCTTTCTGATCTGACCGAATCGGAATATTTTTCTTTTAGTTACATAATTTCATTGAACGTTTTGAATCTGTTTAGGCCTTCAATCCGATAATTGTGTCCATGAAAACGTAGCTATTTTTAGTGCTGTAACAGAGGCAGTGACCATTAGGAAGGTTCTAGAAGTAGGAATCTGGAATGCATTACCCTCTGAGATTTCTTCACTCCAACTTGTTAAATATGAGTTCCATGTTTTCAGACAAGTGATAGGAAGAAAGTTATTGGTAAAAAAACAACAACAACAACAAAAAACAACTTCATTCCTGCTTAAATTTGTTTTTATAAGCAAACCACCACATGGGGAGAAAAACTAAAACCATATTTCACCAAGAACACACCAACTGGGAAACATGACAGTGGCAGCTACCTGCTGTATGGAGGATGGTTTTCCTTTTTTAGAGATGTGTTAACAGAATTAAACAACATCAGACTAGAGAAGCAAGAAAACAACCCTACTTATATACCCATAGCTACGATAGAATGGGAACTGTTCATATCAGAGTATTTTTGCATGTTATCAAAGAGGGAAATCTGTGTTAAGACTGATTTGGACAAAAACTTAATTTAGTGTAAATGGGCTGCATAAACATACACTATGTAAATATACTGATATTTGTGTTATAGCAAGAAAAGAAATTAGAAAAAACACTCAAGGCCTGAATAGTTCTTCAGGGTGCTAAATCTATACATGTCATGCAAGCAGCAATAAACCATGTAACCAGGATAAGGTAAACTCAAGATAATTAAGGAAACTGTGACTAAACATAGAGCAAAGTTCTGAACATAAATCCCTTTGTGAAATCCATTTGTCTGCCACTTTATGTTAAATCAGGAGGTGTCTGAGGTGTTAGAGCAGCAGAAGCATCTCATGAAGAGTGTACTGGATGACACCCATCTGAACAGACTGCGTCTGGAAGGAGGCACTGTCCTCGCCCGCATCAGAAAGGAAGAGGCCTGTGACAATGAAAACTACAGGTACAGTGAGACAGGAGCACTTGGAACCTGGTGAAAAATTCAGTAACTTATAGTATTGGTTCTGTATTTCAGAGATCCAGTTGAGATGTTGAATGGACTCTACAACCAAGTAGATGAAGAGGTTCATAAACTTGTGATTCTGTCCAACAAGTCACAGAAAGAATTGGAAAAACTGCTGGAGGTTTGCAATTTTGAGGAGCAGACACAACAGGTGAGTTCAGACTCAGACATGTGTCCTTATAATGGGACCTAAGATTGTCTCTCCTTTGGATAAAAAATGGATAATGAATCTGTTTTTTTTTTTTTTTTCTAGGTAAAGCGATGGTTCAGCATAGAGGGAGAGAAGCAACTTCTACCCCTGGAATCTGTAACTCTTTCTACAGACAAAATAAAAGAGATGAGAGAAAGTTTGGAGCAGTTTCTAGAGGAGTCAGAGGTAAAAAAAAGATTAAGATCAGGTTAATGCCAATATGCCACTAAATGTGTCATTGATGTTTCTGGCAGCTTAACTTTTACAAATCCTACTTGTAGTCTCAGTAAACAGATGTTTGGGTGTAAATGGTTAGAGGAAAGAATTTAATCAAAATAATAATAATAAAATAAAGGTTTATTGGCTAGTCTCCCAGACAGACAAGCCCTTAGCTTCAGACCTATCATTGCATTTTTTTGATTCTCCAAACTGAGGTCCTACCAACTGCTGCCAGCAGCATGTATTATACTGACTATTCATCTTTTAGTAAAAGCAAACTTGAAGAACCCAAACTTTCTCTTTAAAGCTAAATAGGTGTTTATTTTTTCTTGACAGCACCAGACGAGGCTCCTAAAGCAGTACCCCAGGTCCCCTCCAGACTCAGCTGTGTGCAACGTTAAACAACATCTTGGGTCTATCTTAAGCAGAGTACAGGAGAGGAAGGCTAAGTTGGAAACCCTAACAAACCTGTATGAGTTCTATGACTCGGTGAGTTTCAAAAACAACAACTTTTTAATTAAACTTGATATGATGATCAGAGGATTTTTTTTAGGCATAATAAATATCTTTACATCTATTTCACTATATGCTAACTGGAAATGGTACAGGTTTCTTTGTTTTGTTTTTTTTTGCCTTTTTTTTTACATCATCAAAGGAATGTCATGTCATTTTGAGATGATAATTCTGTTCAAATGAAATTCCCTCTTTCACTTCCGTAGGCCCAGAAGTGGATAGAACACTGTCAGGATTATTTCCATCAGCTGGGTCTCGATGGCTCTGACCAGAGATTTTCGCCGTCTGTGGTGAAAATCTTGCAGGATTACTGCAAAGAAGCATCTAAGTTCTCAGTGGACAACTTCAGCACTCTTAATAACATGGTGCTCTCTCTGGAGTGCCCCCAGCAGCTGCAGCAGTGGAACTCAGTGTGGCACAAATGTCAGCAGACCAAACAGCAGCTGGAAGGGACCTTGGCTAAAGCCCTGTTGTCATCCCAGGACCCAAACACTGTGAAAACGGGGGGTCCCCTACCCACCGCAGAGAGCTGCGTGGCAACCCCAGAACGGCCCGGAGCTAATGGATGTCTGCACTTACCTGGAGCTATCACCTCACTTACATTTGAGGACAGTAAAAATCTCTCTGCTGAGGCTTTTTCCAGGAGCCCATCAGGCTCTATCTCATCTCCATCGCACTTCACTTTCCCAAGCGACCGAGAGAACAAGCTGGGGCAGAGCTCATGCACCCTGGAGGACACTGACAGCGACTGCACCATCGACTCGACCATCTCCTGCCACTCGGAGCCCGTATACTCCAAGGCCACTCGGCTTCGAAAGCACCCAATGAAGAAGATCATGAAGAAGACCGTGAGCTATGAGCTGACCCCGAGAGACGGCGGCCACTCTGACGTCAGCCACATTCACGGCTACACGGGGGTCTACATTAAGGGTTTGGAGGTCGCAAATAATGTGTCAGCAGAGAAGAAGCTGCTGAGACCCGACGTGACCAGTCCTGCTTTAGGACGCAGCCGTAGCATGTCCACACCTTCCAGGACACACAACAGACGCAGTGAAGGAGATGGCAAGAAACAGAGCAGGTGGGCCAATAAACCAGATTTTGTAGGAATCAAAAATGAAAAAGTTCCAATCTGTGCTTATTTTGCATCTCTTTGTGTTCCCCAGTAAAGTTCAGCACATCATGGATGAAATGATTTCCACAGAGAGGGAGTATGTACGTTCCCTCAGCTACATCATAGAGCACTATTTCCCTGAGATGGGGCGCCTTGACTTGCCTCAGGACCTGCGAGGGAAGCGCAGCATCATTTTTGGGAACCTGGAAAAATTGTGTGACTTCCACAGCCAGTACTTCCTAAAGGAGCTGGAGGCAAGCGCTCACTCCCCACTGAGCATCAGCAGCTGTTTCCTGAGACACGTGAGTAGAGGCCTCATATGCAGTAACCCGTGTTGACATGAGATAACATGCATTAGTGTTTAATCAAGTCTAAGATGTTTAGCAGAAGGATAAAACTTTTTTGACCCCTTTAAATATATTAAACATTCAAAAAAGAATGTACAAAAAAACTGAAACTGTAGCAGTTTAGGATTGTGGCACTACAGAAATCGACCGATGCAGGTATTCTTTGGGCAGATACGGGTGTCGATTATTCTGTGCTGGAAATATTTTGGGGGCGATTCTTACAACCGATATTGGTGATGATAAATGTTACAGAAATCTCAGTTTAAACAAAATAGAAATATTTATTAACAAATCAAACAAATATTAACAATGGATGGAGGGAAAAGGAATTTAACATCATACATGTTCTTCATGTGATCTTAGGGCATGGCTGCTGAATGCACAAAGGAATCGGCCAAATCACGCACGTATCGATTGATGCCATAAAAGGAAAAATTATGGCCAAAACTTCCTCTACTGCACTATAATCATCTTTGCAAAAATAGTAAAAACAAAAATGAAATCTAATATTCAACCCTTTATAAATCATAATGAAAAAAGTAGAAATATAACGACAATAAAATATACGTAGGAGGAAATATATTAATTTGGATCTTTTAAGCTTCCCTTTTAACTCTGAACCTAATCATTCAAAAATGAGCATGCAAAATTTATGTTGTAAATTTTTTATTATTGTTATACTTTTATTTGAAAATCTGTCATAAATAACTTTTATAGATTTAAGTAGATTTTCCTTTTGCAAATTAATAAATGTGACAATGAAGAGATATTCTCTTGATCATTATCAATATTTGTAGTTATGGTAGTACTGTTATTATCATTAGAGTTTAAAAGCTTGGGTCTCATTTTACAACAAAAACCATGTAATGTTTATCTTGTCTATTTTTATTTATTATTTTCAATATTTGTGTTTGAAAACCTGATATGAACAATTTTATATAAGATGTTGGTTTAACCTTTTTAAAGGAAATTAAATGAAGGCAACAATAAGGATATCTTCTCATCTTTATCAATACTAGTTGTGGTAGCAATAATAATGTTATTTCTTTTCATATTTTTCATTGCTAGCCTTTTAATTTTTTTATGCTTTTTTTTCTTGATGATTTTAAATTTAATTCTCTTTATTTTTAATCCTTAATCCATTCTTAATCCATTTCTTATTTTAAGATTCACTCTCATTTTTCTCAGCTTCTATTTTTATTTTATTTTTTTTACAACATTTTGTTTTATTTTTTGTGCAGCCTTGAAGTTTTAAATTTTTATCTTTAGTTTTCGAAATCCAGTGTAAAGTTCCAGGCATTAGTAGATTTTATGATGTAATCATATACAATTTCTACATTTCTAAAGACTGAATGAATATTTTGATTCATTCAGCAGTATATTTTCGGCACTTGGCAGCATATTCTTTGTTGTTAGTGATTCTTAGTTTTTCTTCTTTCATTGTGCCTGTCAGATGAAATGTCAGTGTACTTAGTGATGCAGACGGTATTGTAAGTGTTTCCTGTTGTTTGCAGGAGGCTCAGTTTGGAATGTATGCTCTGTACAGCAAGAATAAGCCTCAGTCAGACGCTCTGCTCAGCAGCCACGGCAATGAGTTCTTTAAGGTGCGTTTCAAACTGCCCTGGTTACATTCCTCAAACAGTGACTGATCCAAGGCACGAGGTACAGCTCACTTTATCATATGAATAAAGAAACCTGTTATTAAAAAGTTTTGTTTCTTTATCCAGAATAAGCAGCTGGAGCTTGGAGATAAGATGGACCTGGCATCCTACCTGCTGAAGCCCATTCAGAGGATGAGCAAATATGCACTGCTGCTCAAAGATCTGATAAAGGAGTGCAGCTACTCTCAGGAGCAGGAGCTGAGTGATCTCCGCACTGCAGAGGAGATGGTGAAGTTCCAGCTTCGTCATGGGAATGACCTACTGGCTATGGATGCAATCCGTGGTTGTGATGTGAGTCCTCAGGAGTGTTGCTCTCATCTCCATATCGTTAAGCCAACTTAGGGGTCTGGAGATGTTTGGAAATGGAAATCATCTTGTGTTTATCCCACGAGGAACTGCATTGTTCTCTCTGACGCATTTGGGCGACCGTGTTTCCTCCCCAGGTGAACCTGAAAGAACAGGGTCAGCTCCGCTGCCAGGATGAGTTCATCGTCTGGTGTGGACGCAGGAAATACCTTCGCCACGTCTTCTTGTTCGAGGACCTCATCCTCTTCAGCAAGACCAAGAAGATAGAGGGAGGATATGACATTTACATCTACAAACAGTCCTTCAAGGTAAGATCTGATTGTTTTGTTTTTGTTTTTTGCTCTTTGTAAGCTACTATTTATAAAGCTGAGTAATGCTTTTTTATGTCCATGCAGACAGCAGAAATAGGTATGACTGAAAACGTCGGTGACAGCGGCCTTCGTTTTGAGATCTGGTTCCGTCGGAGGAAGTCCCAGGACACGTTTATACTCCAGGCTAGCTCGGCTGAGGTCAAGGCAGTGTGGACGGCTATTATTGGCAAGATCCTATGGAGGCAGGCCCTCAGAAACAGAGGTGGGCTAAAGAGTCACATAAAAAGTGCACAGCACATCAAATCTGCATGTATTGTTAAGCTGATTTGCATTTTGTCTGTTTCTGTGACAACCATTAGAAGCTCTTTACATAATTCTACAAGTTGGTTGTTTGGAAGTCAGAAAAAAGCACCATGGCAAACTGTCATGTATTTATCCGGGTTTAGTTCAATAACGAGGAGACGGGTAGTATGGTGGTTGCGGTCCGCTTTACTGAATAGAACTGGCAGGATACAGGAAAAAACAATCCCCTACGTAACACGGGGGTACGGTGGCCGCCGAGGCACAAACATAGCAACAGTGAAACCCGATTTAATATCTAACATTTCCTCCCCCCATATTCAGTAAGACTAACCCCCGAATAAGATAACGTACCCCCAACAGGGGATAACACCTAACTTTAAAATTTCCAATCCACAAGAAAAAAAGGATATGAAAGTCCATCAACTACAAGTTCAGGCGGTCAGGAGGCCGTCGCTCCCGCGTGGGATACCGGTGAGGATGGTGGGTCACCGGAGACGACGTTGGCGCTGAATCCGTTGTCAATGGGGGCTGGGGAACCTGGTCTGTGACGTTGTCCTCTTGAAGGGTGGTTGACAGGGTGTCAAGGGCGGCCTGGTCCTCCACCGCGTCTGCCCCGTCGGAGATATCTTGCGGGGGGGAACCCATTGGTTCCGGGGCAGGGCCCTTGCTGGCCAGCAGTTGGTCCGTATGACGACGCCACACTAAGTCATCGTTGGTGCGTACTTGGTATGACAGTGGCCCAGTAATGGCCACTACCTTTGCTGGCACCCACCTGGGACCCCTTAGGTAGTTGCGAGCTAGGAAAGGGTCACCAATGTGAAAAGACCGTGGTGTGCCTGCCCTACGTTGGCTCTGCTCTTGCTGACTGCTCAGGACAGTTTGGCTCCTTGACTGCGGCCGTATGCAATCCAATTGGGTGCGCAGCGCTCTTTTCAGGAGGAGTTCAGCGGGCGACGCCTTAGTGGTGCTGTGTGGCGTGTTTCGGTAAGTCAGCAGGAAACTGTACAGTCTCTGATGAAGGGAACCTTGGAACACTGAAGCCTTTAGACTGTGCTTCAAGGTTTGTACGAATCTCTCCGCCAGTCCATTGGTGGACGGGTGGTAGGGTGCTGACTTAATGTGTTGAATTCCATTCATCTTGAGGAAGGCCTCCATCTCTTCTGCGACAAATTGGGGTCCGTTGTCGCTCACCAGCTGTTCCGGTATTCCATACCGGCTGAACATTTCCTCCAGACGCTCAATGGTTTTCCTGGTGGTTGTAGACCGCATGATGGCCACGTCTGGCCATTTGCTGTGAGCGTCCACCACCACCAACAACATTCTGTCTTCGAATGGTCCCGCAAAGTCAATGTGTACACGCTGCCACGGCTCCGCGGGCCATTCCCATGGATGGACTACTGCTGGTTTAGATGCGTTTCGCACAGTTTAACAGGCAGTGCAGCGGCCTGCAAAGTCCTCGATGTGCTGGTCTAGCCCCGGCCACCAGAAATAGCTGCGGGCCAGCTCCTTCATGCGCACTATGCCACAGTGCCCGACGTGGAGTTGTTTCAGCATTGGGCCCCGCAGAGAAGGGGGTATGATGACCCTTCTGCCCCACAGCAAACACCCCAACTGTGCAGAAAGCTCTTGTTGCCTGACCAAATATGGTTTGTTGTCAGGCGTGCTTGGGAGTCTTCTGCCTTTTATGATGGCATCCATTACAGCTGATAACACCGGATCGTTTCGGGTGGCACGTCGCACCTGTTTAGCAGTGACAGGGGTGTCGCTCACGTGCTGGAAGTAGAAGATGTCGCTTGGTTGGGTCATTGGCTTTGCTACACGGAGCGGTAAGCGGGAGAGGCCATCCGCATTACCATGTAATTCGGATCGGCGGTACTTAATGTTGTAATCATGGCCTGAGAGCAGCAGGGCCCATCACTGCATTCTGCTTGCGGCCAATGGTGGAATGCCCACGTGTGGCCCCAGCAGGGCTGTCAGTGGTTTGTGGTCAGTTAGAAGCGTAAATCTCCTTCCAAAAAGGTACTGGTGGAATTTCCTTATTCCAAACACGATGCTCAGGGCCTCCCGCTCGATCTGTGCATAGTTACATTCAGCCTTATTAAGGGTCTTAGAGGCGAAAGCGATGGGTTTATCCGTGCCGTCCGGCATGATGTGTGAGACCACCGCGCCAACTCCATAGGGGGATGCGTCGCAGGCCAACTGAAGTGGCAGTGCTGGGTTGAAATGTGTAAGCACCTCCGAGTTCAGCAGGGCTTTCTTCGAGCTGGTAAAAGCTATCTGGCAAGCCTCTGACCACTCCCATTTCTTACCATGCCTCAGTAGCTCGTGGAGGGGCTTCAATAAGGTGGAGAGATTGGGGATGAACCGACCATAGTAGTTCAGGAGCCCCAGGTATGAGCGTAACTGGTTGACGTTTTGTGGTGCTGGGGCTTCCAAAATGGCTTTGGTCTTGGAGGGGGCCTTGTGTAGACCTTTATCATCGATCACATGACCTAGGTACTCAATGGAGGACTGAAAAAACTCACATTTCTCCTTGCGGACTTTCAGTCCGTGTTCCCTCAGCCTCTGTAGTGTCATGTCCAGGTTGTGAAGGTGGTCGGCGTTGTCCCTCCCCGTTATAAGGATATCGTCCAAGTAACACTGCACCCCTGGGAGGCCCACCAGAATCTGATCCAAGAGTGCAGGGGCCGATGTTATGCCAAAAGCCAAACGGCGGTACCGAAAAAGGCCCTTGTGTGTGCTGACTGTCAGTAACTCTTTGGACTCGGGGTCCACCGGCATCTGTAGGTAGGCCTGGTTCAAGTCAATTTTACTAAACTGTTTGCCATTTGCTAGACCTGCAAACAGGTCTTCAATTAGGGGCAGCGGATAGTGTTCATTTTGCAAGGCTGGGTTAACAGTCACTTTGAAATTGCCGCAAATTCGTAGACTGCCGTTTTTCTTAAGGACGGGCACAATTGGGGTAGCCCAGTCAATGACAAGCACAGGTTCGAGCACCCCACTATTCACCAGATTGTCCAGCTCTTTTTCTACTTTCGGACGCAGTGCATATGGGACCGGCCTTGCCTTGATGAATCTGGGGATGCTGCTTGGTTTTAGGGTTAACTTTCCAGTGATACTTTTCATGTGTCCTAATCCCTCAGTGAAAAGTTCGCTGTGTTTCTTTAAGACAGCTTCTAGGGCGGTCTCACCTTGACTAAGCATGCGGACAGTAGGCCAGTCAATCCGCACCTTATCCATCCACGAGCGGCCTAGCAGGGACGGGTAGTTGCCACGAACAACGTATAGGGGCAGCTTTACGCGTTGTCCATTTAACTCCACCTTAACATTGACCAGGCCCTTCACCGCCACTGCCTCCCCTGTGTAGGTCTTCAGCACCATCCGTGCTTGTTGGATTGGTAAGTGGTTTAAGTGTTCTTTGTACACCGTCTCTGAAACTAGTGACACTGCTGCCCCAGTGTCAATTTCCATCCGTACTGGTTTACCTTCCAACATTGGTGTTGTCCAGTAGCTGTCAGACCCTCCAGCTAGCGACAGAATGTGGAGGGGCACCTCCTCATCATCTGTAGATTCGCTGGTGTCACTTTCCTTTTTCATCACATGCACCGTTTTTTTACGTGTAGCGGCTCTCCTGCGTTTGTCTGTGCTTCTGTACGTTGAACTAGTCCCTTTTTTTTTTACTGTGACAAGCCTTTTCAATGTTACCTTTTTTTCCACAGGCATGGCAGTCTAGTTCTTTACACCAGCACTCTGCTGCCATGTGCCCTGTTTGGCCGCAGCGGTAACATGGCCTTGTTGGCGTGCTGTCCTCTGCACCTGCAATCTTCAGCACTTTAGCTGTGGATGCACTCAGCTGATGTGCCTCCTTTGCAGCCAATTCCATTGACACACTGATTTCAATTGCTTTTTTCAGAGTTAATTTGTCCTCAGTCAGCAGTTTTCTCTGAGTGGCTTCGCTGTGCAGTCCACAAACCAGCCTGTCACGAATTGCATCCTTAAGCGTGTCTTCTGAAAATTCACAGTGCTCTGCTAATTTCCTGAGCGCAGCTACAAACATTGTCACTGTCTCACCCTCCTCCTGATTACGTTTATAAAATCTGAAACGTTCAGCAATCATCAATGGCCTGGGTGAGAAATGGTCACTTAGAGTTTTAACAATAGCGTCATATGTAAATTCTCCTGGCTTCTTGGGCTGTGCCAGTGCCCGAAAAACATTGAAAGTCTTTGCGCCCATTACAGTAAGAAAGGTAGCTACCTTTTTCTTTGCGCTGATCCCATTGGCTAGAACGAAGAATTCAAAACGCTCCGTGTAGGCGCTCCATTGCTCCACCGTGTCATCAAACGGTCCAATGTCCCCCACAACACCCGCCATCATAGAAGGAGTTTCTCAGCGTTGCCTGCCGTCTATCTGTTGGTTGAAATGAACTTTCCCGTTCGGCGTCGCTTCTCTGTTGCCCCAGCAGTGCTAAACTTTCGGCGCTTCCTCCCGCGCTTTCATCCGGGGAGGTGCTGCTCATTTGGCACAGAAACAGCCAACTACGCACATGACTTGAAAACAAAACGGCTATTTGCCCCAAAAAACACTACACGTGAGGTCAGACGCATTCTCGTCGCCAGTTGTCAAGTATTTATCCGGGTTTAGTTCAATAACGAGGAGACGGGTAGTATGGTGGTTGCGGTCCGCTTTACTGAATAGAACTGGCAGGATACAGGAAAAAACAGTCCCCTACGTAACACGGGGGTTACGGTGGCCGCCGAGGCACAAACATAGCAACAGTGAAACCCGATTTAATATCTAACACAAACTTATAACCTATTACCAACATTCTCTTTTGCACATGCTTCCTTTCGTCAAGACTAAGATTAACAATAAATCTTCCAGTGACTGTTTGGAATGAAACCTAGGTTTGTTTCAGGGGATCTTTGATGCTGTGGGCCCTATACCACACAAACAATTTGGCATCTGCCAGAGACTGAAAATGGATCAGTTGCTTTTTCAGCAGGATGTTAATCGAAATCGTCTGGAAAAGTTTTCACAAAGATTTTTTTGTTTTCTTGATGTTGAAATTATGCAAAAAAGGGATTTTTTTTATATATACATTTTTTTTTAAGTATGAGGTTGTAATCAAATTAAAAAGTTCAGTGTTGTAAAACCTTTTGCGCATCTATAACAAGGCTGTCAGAATAGTGACTGAATCTGTAAAAAACACAGTCAAAATCTTGTAAAAAAAATTATGAAACACCAATGTAGTCAGGTTAAATTATTTTTGACTTGATTTTAGTCTAATCCATCATTAATTTGAGGCACTTAAAATCAAAGTAAAATAACATTACATCCTTTTGTATATAGAAATCACATCAGTTTTTTTTTTACCTTTTCTTTAAATTTGTGTCAATTGTAGAGCTGCGCATGCAGGAGATGGTTTCCATGGGGATTGGAAATAAGCCTTTCATGGACATTAAGCCCAGTGATGCAGCCATCAGTGACAGAGCCATTGACTACATCATGAAGGGGACAGGTAAGCACTTCTATTTAGATTTTATTCTTTTCTGTTCTCATAAAACCAACCATATTTTACTTCGTTTTTATTTAGAGGAGATTCAAAAAATATTTTAAGAGTAGATTCTATATATAAGGTTCAAATAATCATCATCTTACCTGCAGTGATGATGTTACTTTAAATGTAATAGAGTGAACTTATAGTTTGAAAGTTGGGTTCATTAGATTTATAATAGGACAGAGTGATTATTTAAAGGAAGTGTATCGTAATAATCTACAATAAATGAAATTTGAGAATGAAGTTCCTCTCTGGTAAGTTGTAAGGGAACTTCTCTCTAAAGTCTCTTTCTTCATCTGAGGTACTTGCTAAGACCTGCTGCTGTAGGTTAGGCTCTCAGTGCTAATAGGAACTCAGCCGTCGATAAACTCAAGAAATGCTTATTTTTTCCTCTGAAACCAAAACAAATGATCTCAGAAAACATTGCCTAATTCACATCAGCAAATTATTTTCCTTCCTCAGTATTAGGAAAGACTCATTCCTTTTCATTTCAACCTTTCATCTACAATTCTGGCATCTAATATGTTTTTTGTCTCTGCACTATCAGAGTGCCGAACCAGGGCGTCCATCGCCGTGTCGTCGTTTGAACACTGTGCTGCATTTAAGAGGCCCCACTCCACCATCTCCAACAGCAGCACCTCCTCCTCCAGCAGCCACTCGTCTTCCTCTCTGCTGGGCTCACTTAACCTTCACCTTTACTCCTCGCCGTCCCACCCACACTCACACCCGTACCCGATGGGCAGCGTTGCCTCCTTTGCCCAGTGGCCGTATGACTGCATAGAGGAGGACGAGCTGGAGCAGGACGTCGGGAACAGCCAGCCCTCCATGAGTCAGTGATGTGCTTGTTTTAAGTATTTATTTATTTGTTTTTGTCAGATTTACTCTTTTCTTTTTTAGAATATGGTAGATTCAATAAAGTTGATTTGTACAATGCATCCATAGGCTAGAAGTTTTTTAATTGAAGGTCAAAAACAATAATAATAAGGTATTAAAATTTCTCTCTTCCTAAGTGTGTGTTTTTGGAGCCACCACTAGAGGCCGCCAAAAGCAAACCTAACATTTCCATGAACAGCTTCACTTAAACAATCTCAATGAGTGGGAAAAATTAAAACTTTTTTCTTCTGTTTTAATTCCTACAATATTTGCTCTGTTTCTTTCAGTTACTGAAAGCTCAGAGACCTCTTCCTCCCAGTGCAACTCCACTGACAGTGTAACTGGGCTGAGCACCCTCACCATCCCTGAACCCCCCAGTGCCATCATGGAGACGTTTAACAACAACAACAATGAGCTACCTGATTTCCTCCACTCCTCTCCTCCTCCCTCTGTCGCCTCTACATCATTGTTTCCCAAGGATGAGGACCACCAAGCACAGGGCACCAACTTCATCACAGCAGTAAGTATTTGATTGGTTGTTGGCTGTTTTATCCAAATTTCAGCAGCAATCACACTCTGTGCTGCATGTGAGAGCTTGTTGATGCAGAACATCTCTCTGGGTATTTCTTCTCTGTAGTTGGACTCCTGTCCTCTGATTAGTTCAGATGATTTTTCAAATTTTTCATTTTTTCTGCTACAGCTGCAAAATAAAGGTTGTTTTAGTGGCTAAGAGAAAAAAATGCATTTACCTTTTAGAAACACATGTTGTATACATTTTTCACCAAAATGTTATTGATATTGTTTGGATTTCAAACAAGAAAAAAGCTAATAGAATGGTCTTCTTTTTTCAGACAATAAGTAAAACTAGAACATTTACAGCAATGAAACCCTAACCCTAACTTCCCTAAAATGGGGCCGCTATCTGTCTGTCCCTCTGTCTCAATCTAATGTTATTACAAACCGGAGCCTGAACAGTCAAACCTTGCTCTTTTTTGGTTTTGTGGTTCTGTTACAATTAGCAGAAGAAATTAAATAAAATGTAAACTTTTTGCTCACTTCTGTTTTTTGATAGAACTTTTAAACCTTTTCTTTTACCAGCCACAAAAAAGTCATAAGAAAATAACTAAGACAGATGTATTTGTCATTTTGTTTACACAAGTGTAAAACAAAAAGAAATTTTATTTAGAACAGCTCTCTGGACAATTTCATTTTTTTCTTAAAAGTGCAGCCTTGAAAAATAGTAAAAATATATGTAAAAACATTAACATAAAAATATATGACTGTAAATTTACAGTTCTAACATGTTCAGATTTTTTTTTTTTTATATAAAACAGGAGATGTCGAAGAGTTTTCATGTTATTTTTTTTTTTTTCATTTCATGGTTTTTGTCTGAAGAGCCAACACTTTGGATAAATAAAGCTACTTAAATTGCCAGCATGTGGCACATTTAGGCATTCACATCTTGGGAAGAACCTTAAGATGTTTGGTCTTTTGGATGTAATAACGGTTATATAGTTGGCCCTTTAAACAGGCTATAATGGCAGCTCCAGTTAGAGGTTGACACACTTTTTTGTAGGAATGAGTATAAAAGCATTGCTTTTAATGATGCTTTTGAATCATTCATTTTCCTCTAAGGTTGTCTTTTTTTATTTCTATTATTATGTTAGGATTTCCTTTACAATTATTATCAGAAACTTCAACACAAAAACTGTTGTCACACCATGAAGCACAGTCGTACATCCACAGTCCCTTAGTGAGTCGGCTCCAGCTAATAACCATCTACAAGCTTCTGAAACAGTTCTGGTTGAATATTTTCAAGCAGGGAATGATATCAGCATCCTGATGCATTCCTCATAATTTACAGCTGGTTCCCAGTTATTAAGTTTAGAAAAACACTCTTCTCTTCCTCCAAATGTTTTTCGTTAAAAAGTGGCAAAAAAGTTAAACAATACTGTGATCTGACCAAAAAAAAAGAGTTCTGCTTGTCCTTGTGTTTTTCCAGAATTACCATAAAGTCAAAGCACCACCTGGGGCAATTAACCAGCAGGGGCCCAACCTGTAAGGTGACTCGCTGGTTGCCCCGAGGATATTTATGCAGGCTTGAAATTAAATAATTTGGATTTATTGTGGAAAAAATGTCAAAAATCGTGACTTAGAACACCATAACTTCTGCTCCCCTTTTCATACACAAGAATACGTAGATCCATCCAGAGATGCAGTGCTGAGCAGCGGGGGATATGAAGCAGAGCTATGAAAGCTGAGTTAAAAAATGGGAAAGGTATTTTAAATACTGGGCAGTTTGATCTTTAATGGGCGGAACAGTTGTTCAGTCCAGGGATATTGGCCTGTCTCGTCCATTACACGATAAATAAAAACAACAAAATAACACCGCAGCAGGGAAACATGGCTGATTTCTAAGCAGCTGTCATCCACAGAGTTGAAGCCTGGTGACTCAGACCAGGAAATTGTAGGATACAGCTAATTATCTATTAACCCAGCTTGAGGTGGAGGAGTGCCTTCAGGGGGTCAGGGGGGTGTCCTGCCCCAAGTGGAGGAGTTTAAGTATCTTGGGATCTTGTTCACGAATGAGGGAAGAAGGGAGCGGGAGATCGACAGGCGGATTGGTGCAGCGTCTGCCGTCTGCCGTGAAGCGGGCGCTGTACCGGTCCGTCGTGGTGAAGAGAGAGCTGAGTCAAAAAGCGAAGCTCTCGATTTACCGGTCGATCTACGTTCCTACCCTCATCTATGGTCATGAACTCTGGGTCATGACCGAAATAACGAGATCGCGGATACAAGCGGCCGAAATGGGTTTCCTCCGTAGGGTGGCTGGGCTCTCCCTTAGAGATGAGTGAGAAGCTCGGTCATCCGGGAGGGACTCGGAGTAGAGCCGCTGCTCCTCCACATCGAGAGGAGCCAGTTGAGGTGGCTTGGGCATCTGTTTAGGATGCCTCCTGGACGCCTCCCTGGTGAGGTGTTCCGGGCACGTCCCACCGGGGGGAGGCCCCGGGGAAGACCCAGGACACGCTGGAGAGACTATGTTTCTCGGCTGGCCTGGGAACGCCTTGGGGTTCCTCCTGAAGAGCTGGAAGAAGTGGCTGGGGAGAGGGAAGTCTGGGCCTCCCTTCTTAAGCTGCTGCCCCCCGCGACCCGACCCCGGATAAGCGGAGGAAGATGGATGGATGGATGGATGGATGGATGGATGGATGGATGGATGGATGGATGGATGGATGGATGGATGGATGGATGGATGGATGGATGGATGGATGGATGGATGGATGGATGGATGGATGAGGTGGAGGATTGGTTTAATAATCATCATCAGTAGAAAAACTTCACCTGATTTAAAAGCTCTGGTTGTGATGGTAAAAAGTATAAATCCTCTCTGGGAGCTTTTAGCTGGATTTGCATCAAGATACAAAACATATTTGACCCTAAGTTCTGTCATGGCTGCAGTCATCACAGTCATACACGCAGAAAGAAAACCTGGGAAATATAATCTATCTATTGGTGACTTTCTTTCTGCCCTGATTCTCAACATTCAGCCCTCGGTTGTTTAAGGTGCAGTATTAAGAAAAATGAACCTAATAGAAATCATTTCCCTTTTTGTTCTCTGAACAATTTGTTTAATGTGTAAAACTATAAACTAAACTGATTAAGCAAAGATACAGTTTTTTTCAAATTAAAACCTAAATAATATTCTTCATATATAGTTCTTAATAACTGCAATATCACACAGATAAAGTAAAAACAGAAGATAGAAAATGAAATGAAAAAGAAATGCCCAGGATAAGGGTCTGTGGTATATTCAAGCCCCAAAACTTAAGTTTCCTTTTATCTACAGAAGAGTTTTTATAGATGCTGCAGACGCTCAGTGCAAACAAGACTGCTCTGTTTCACGGCAACAACAGAATATATTTAGGAAAGAAGGAACATTGTCATATAATCAACGTTAATCAAATATTTGGAAATCTCTCATCATGAAGAAAATAATTACGTTTTTTTTGGATCTGACTATTTGAAAAAGATTCAAGTTTAATTAGAATGATAAAAAGGTTTTTCTAAATCACTCAGCAGCTGGATGATGTTGGATGCAATGTTTTTCCATCTTTTATATATATATATATATATATATATATATATATATATATATATATATATATATATATATATATATATATATATATATATATATATATATATATATATATATATATATATATATATATATATATATATATATTATATATATATATTTAAGAAAGGTAAATTTACAGCGAAGTGTTTATTAATGAAACAAAATCTAAATTTTTCTGATAACAAAGAGGGAGGTTTAAAGGGATATTGCACCTTTATGATTCCGTCCTTTAAGGAGCTAAAAGTTATAACTATACATTGCAGCAGTGTTGCTGATTTAGAGACGTCAACCATTTTGTATTAAGCACTGGGGTGCAGGTGCATTAAATTACAGATCTCTCCTGAACAACATGTAGCAGTGGAGGCCAGGAGAGGGACGACAGTAAAAGCTGTCAGGGCTTAGAGCAGGGTCCCCTGTCTAAAGTTGGTATGGGGCCCCCAAATTGGCTAGGTCTACCACTGGTCTGTCCTCTGTCTCTGTGGTCATCTGCAATTTTCAGTCGAATATGAAGCTGTTGTTCTGAGGTGGAGGTAAAAACTCTTACAATCTGTGGCAATGTAAAACAACAGGAATTGAAACAACTTGAAAAAGTTGAAGAAACATCTTGCTGTCTTCGATTGAAGCCTGTTGTGATAAACAAAGATTAAATAACAAAAAACCTGAATATTAAACTTATTTTCCAAGATAAGATGGTTAGATGACTAAAACATTGTTTGATTTTATTTTTGTTTGAAATAATCTCTTGCATTTTATAATTATTGATAACAACACTTAATCATTTATTCTAAAATGTGATTGTTTTTACATAATGAAGTGTTACATGGAGATCCTGTAACTGTGGCCCAGAAGTACAGATCCTCTCCCATGTAAAGAGGGAACGTTTCAATGTTTGAAATATGGACATAATTTGATAAAGAGAACAAGTTTACAAAACTTAAGCAATGACAGTGCAAGCTAAGAATATTCCTCTAGGAAGTTCAGGGTTGAGAAATTCAACCTCAACCCTGTTGAATATTTGTACACTTTCCATATTAGTTGTTTGATGTAAGCTTTTCACCATAACCGTCTCTGTATTTCGTAACCTTCCTGTAATTTAGAAGAAAAAGGGAAAGAAAAACAAGTTTAATTTATATTTTAAAAAGTCTTTTCTGACTATTCTTTTTAATTATCTTTCTGTCTGTTCACTAGCTCTGTTGTTGGAGTTGATTTTCCATCTGAGCAAATATGAGGGTATTTAAAGCTTTAGGTTTTTATACTTTTTTATATATTGGTTGTTGTTTTGCTTTCGGCAGAGAAAAACCGCTCACATAGCTGTCAGCCTCTCCACAGTGGTCTGACTGCTTGGGTTAAACTCTGTAAGTAAGCTCAGTCACACCAGTGGATGCCTCTGTTAGTCTCCTTCCAGTTCCATTAACAATTGTATAAAAACACTCGGCTGTCGCACTAATCTGAGTAATAACATTTTGGTTGCCTGTGTTCATGTTGCATGGCGTCTTGTTCTGATGGGTTCAGCAGGCTCTTTCCCTGATCGGGTGTGCAATCCTGTGATCTTCTGTCCTTTGGCTGCTTTTTTTATTCTGTGAAACTGACATCAGTGGAAACAGCTTAGCATGTTTAAACATATGCATGCCGTGGTACAACCGTTATTTATGACCCTGAGGTGCAACCTTATTCTGTCTACCACAACTCATTTTCTGTTAAACCATAAATCGTTTTAGTTGTAAACTACACACAATATAAATATACAACATTGTAAGAAAGTTTGCATTGAGAACTATTAACTGATATTATTATCTATTAATAATTAGGTTATCATTTAATAAATTGTGATAGCATTATTAGGCCCGAGCAGTGAAAGCGCTGCAAAGGCCTATTGTAATTCTAGTTTTTTTTATTTTTTTATTTTTTTATTTAATTTATTTGAAGTGTCCCCTGCCTCATGGCTTAAATTGACTTATTTAGGTTCATTTATTTCTTGGTATCTAAAAATTTTCTTATTTTGCTTTTTTAATTTTCTTTTTACCCTTGATGTCCTTAATAATTCAATATTTTCTTTACAGTTTTTGAAAATGTTTTTTTTTCTTTTTCAAAAAAAACTATAAATAGGGTTCCTGAATTTATAATTCATTTATTCCAGATTTTTTTCTTTAGCATGCTGCCATTTTATTAGCAGGAACGATAAACTAAAAAGAATGAGGACATGATTTGTTTTTTAAATAGTGTATAAATGTATAAACAACAGAGAAAATGAAATGAAATGACCAAAAATAAATTTTTTTGTGATCATTATTATGTAACTTCTACATTATGCAAAATATAAACGAAGTTTTATTTAGTTGTTCATCCTTGTGACACATACCCAAATAAGTTTTTGTGACATGAGGTTTCACTTCTTAAAAAACTGCTTTAGTTTGCCAGTTGCCTTGTTTGGCGTGCCCAGCGCTGCATGTTCATAAAGTAGAACTTTAAATGCTGCAACATATTTATGTTCACATAAACTGTCTTTTCATAAGTGCTTCTCTCTCTTTTCTTTGCAGTTGTGACGTTTTCAAGTCACGGAGCGTATTCCACACAAGAGGAAGAAAAAACAAATGGAAAGAAGGAAGAGTCGATTTTGGAGCACTAAGACTTTATTAAACAAAAACCCACTAACACATGATATTTGAATAAATGTCTTCGTCATGGTACTTCAGAGGTCTGTACATTTGATATAACAAGATAGTATGTGTTTATATTGTAGATGTATTTTACATATAAGGTAGCGGACCGTTTCGGACAATGCTGCATGGTTGTATTCTTGTGATTTTCAGTTTACATGTTTGTACAGATTAATAAAAAGATTCAAGCTGTTTTGGCATTTCTTTGTCTAATACATTGAAAATTGCTGTAAACGTTTTTGGCTAATGGAGGTTTAAGAGTGTTGTGACTCTACGCCTGAGACCAAGTGGCAGATATTTCCACTGATAATAGAGTGTGAACTCAAAACCACACACACAGAGCCCTCTGCGTGAAGAGACAAAGAACTGCAAAGGGAGACCCACTACTGCCGTTACCAAAAGAGGTGCATATAGTTCGAGGACCATGAGGTGTGGTTTTTGCCTTCATATGAGGGGAGCTGACATTTGTTACCACAGTTCTTGCATTTTGCAATCCAAGTCAAAACATCAGACGCAGACCACAACCTGGGCTGAGCTGCAGGGGCTTCTTCCTTCAGCAAAGGCAACAGACACAAAGCCACACATGAAAGCATATAAGTTGTCACTGGCCGCTCTAAAGCCTTCTGTTCCCCTTTTTTCTATGCACAATTAGCTTCTCTGTACACAATTAACTTATTTTATCCTTTTATTCATTTTCCTTTTTTTTCTTTGAAGAGCCAGTAGCAAAGGACTACAGAGAGTAGTACTTCGAGTCCCAACACGCACAGCCCCAGCACTTCAATCTGCAATAAACAAAAACATTGATTAACAAACAATATTCATGCATTTGAGATATTTTTAGGTTAGATTCTAATAATTTATGCCTTACAATCTGTTTTGGGTTATTCTTACTTTAAAAAACGGATCGTCTCCTAGTTGCCACTGAGCCAGGTCGACGCTTGTTAGAATGGCTCCGAATAAGGCTACAACAATGCAGCCCAGGTTAACGGCAAATGAGACCTACAATACAGGGATAAAAGCACTTTTGATGGATTGGTTGCTTTTTTATTTCATTTTTCTCGAGCTGTAAAACTGATCAGTTTGACTCACATTCAGTAACAGCGGGTATTTGAACAGCAAGTTGGAAATGAGCCCCACTATTACAAACTGCAGTGAAGGAGAAGGCAAGTTAGACACCCTTGTATTGTATTATTATTATTTATGCTTTATTTTTGGTTGAAAACAAACACTTACAAGGATTCCAGTCAGCAGTGGGACTCTAAACAGTATGAAATAGGTATCATGTATATCGTGTGTTGCAGCACAGAGAATCCCCATGGCAACACTGAGGATGCCGCTCATTAGCTGCAGAGACTGAGAAGACAAAGTGGAGAGCAAAGAAAATGTATTAGATAGCATAATAAGCTGGGAAATGTAGTTGAATGTGTGACATTGTGAGTAACACTGAATGCGAAGTTACTACAGTATGAGAATTCTCAATGTTTAAGGCAAAAATATTTAAGTAAAAACCCATCAATCTATTCCTCAAATGTATTTATACATTGGGGTATCATATGTAGTTTGCAACACTTGCAATAATTGTTTCAGATGATTTTTTTTATATAAGAAGTGATATATTCCAGTCCCTGCTGGTGAAATCCAGGGTAGGTTAAAAAAAAAACATTCTGGGCTGTCAAAAAGCTAAGCTTCAGTGAGACATTTATTATAAATTTGCAACAACAAAAAAGCCTGCTAACAAAGAGTGGTGAACACAGTGGTTCGTCTTGATTTTTTCATCATACAATCTAAAATCATAAAATATCATTTTAGTGTATAAAGTGTGTTTAAAATGGTTCCTCCAGGATTGCTTTGTCTTTAGGTATGAGTTCCCATAGACTCAGGCTTATCAACAGTACCCCATCATAATGATGTTGCTTCCATTATGTATCGGTGTGAAGCTGTCTCTTTTGACCAGAGCACCTTAAATCAAGTGTTTCACTCGTCCCCTTGATGCACTTTTGCAACTTTATACAAGATGTCTAGCAATATCCCTTCAGCAATAGCTCTCTTTGTTGATGGATTTAACAGAGCTAATGAAACTTCAAATTTATTTAGTTTTTTTAACCAAACCCTGCATCACAGCCTAATCTTTGACTATGCTGGTGTGTTATTCACAATGCTGTTTTTTTCACAAATGTCCTAATACAAAATTATACAGTTACAAGCATGGATTCTGTTGGATCTTAGTCAGCGGCGTGCTCTGGATGTATTGGATTTTTAACTGTGCAAAAGGTTGTATCAGTTTATTAAACAGAGTATAGATTTATACATGTTTCTGTTGCATTTGTTTGTGCGGGGATCATTTAGATTGCTACTGAATTTTGAACCACTGACTTTATAAAAAACATTTTCTAACAGTGGATTTGTTTTCACTGCTGGAGAATAAATTAAGTAAGCTCTCAGTGTTAGATCATAATGCTGTTTATTTCAAGGCCTTTAACAGGTCTTCATTCTGATTCACTTGGCGTACTTATTTTTCTATATTCCAGTGTTATTGTGACTGCAATATCTTTTTATGGACATTATAAAATCATAAATTTGAGTAGAATGAATTTATCGATTCAGGTCGCATTATTAGTTTGGCGATATATCTCACTAAAGATACAGGATTAGATAAGATTTTTCTTTTTTTGCATGCTATTTAGGGTTGTTGTTTTATTTACTGTGAAAAGGCTCCCTGGTGATACATATACATGCAAGATAAGAAAAAAAAGAAGAAGTACAACAAGAACAGTGCACCCTAAACAACAAACCAGAGTCTGTTAAATACACCGGATCTTTACAAGACAAAAAAGGTGTGACTGCAGCTTACTTTTAGACTGCTTCTCTATAAAGTGTGAAACTTCAGTTTTTACACATACTTAAGGCACAAAGAAACGCACTTCAGTACTTCCTCTTAACACTGCCCCGAAGAGCACAAAAAAAACACCACTGCGCTCTGCATGTCTATCTGTTTTATCTCAGCCTCCATCTTGACCTCTCTGCTGTATCTCGGATTAAATGTTTCTTAATTCTTGGTGCTTTTTCCTCAGAGTGAATACAATCTGTCTGCAGTTTTACAGTACAGACAAAAGGCCTCTCCTGCCTTCATATTAAAATTAGATGAGATGCAGTTGTCCTAGAAACACAAGCCTGAATGTAGGACATTTAAACCTTCAACTGCTCTCGGCAGAGCAATCTCTCCCATCAGCGGGTGTGGGTGTTTGTGATACTTAAGTGAACGATGATCTCAATAAAAAAAAAAGTTGTTTCATAATTTATACTGTTGAGTTTATATGTTTACTGTATAGCAGCATTTCTAGGATTTCTGGTCACTTTTTGGAAAAATTAATTATGCTTTTTTCTCCATCATCTATGGTTGTGAAACAACTGAACATGTTCAGAAGTTTACCTAACCTAGTTCTTGGTGAATCCTGCTTTAACGTCTAAAGTATTTTCTGCTTGTTGTTAAAGTGCACCATGCATCATGAAAAAAAGCCTCAAGTTCCTGTGAGCTGTTGGTCTGCCATGTACTGCCACTGCACGTCCTAAATCTTGCCAAACTTGCTCTATGATACAGAGGTTAGAAGATCAACATAAAAACAGAGGCTTCAGTGGCTGCTGATGAGAGAAGGATATATTTCACGCTTTTTTCCCCATATTTTATTCTCTAATAAGCAGTTGCATTAATATCCCTTTGCTTTTTGTAGCTTGAAAATCCCCCAAAACCACTGACCCGCGCCCGTGTTTCACACACATCTAGAACATTGTGCTTTGATTAGCATTTATGGTCTCTTCACTGTCCTGAGGTCAGTCTGTCTGCTGTTTGGCATTATTTCTGTCTTGCTCTTTCAGGTTCCTCTTTATTACCTAGAAATTCATACATTTTCTTTTTTACACCATTAATAGTTTTAATAACATTAGTTTATTTGCTGTTGCTGTGCAGCCAATAATGTAACACTTGCCAAGTGGGGGGGGGGGGGGGGGGGGGGGGGCAAATAACATCAAGTAAATTCTAACAGTAATAGAAAATGGTAACCGACCTGTACATATATAGAGCTTTTTCAAATTAGGAGACTTGACCAAAGTGGTTTAGACTACATTTATTCATGCACAGACTTATAGTGGCAAGTTACGTTATAGCCACAGCTGACAGAAGCGAGGCTGCCGTACACATTCACCACCATCAATAGGCAATGCTATGAAGGTAAAAGTGGTTCATTATATCAACACTTGTATTTTGGATATGTACACTTCTAAACTATGAGGTGAAATGGTATACAGTAAAATTTGTTATCTTTTACATCTGAATAATTAGCTGTACAAAAAAATAAAATCACACAAATGCAAATCAATTTGAGCTTGTTAGTAAAATGTTCACTTTTGTAGCTGAAGTGTCTTGCCCAAGGACACAACAAGAATAAAAGCCAGAGTCAGGATTTGGACCGACAACGTCACCTTTAAAAAATTATAATTTTGATTAAAACCTTTAAAAATATAATCATTTCAGCTGCTAAAGGAAGAAAACAATTTTGTTTTCAGTATTTATAACTCTGTTATTTCTTTTTCATAGCTGTCATCTGCAGTCATAAAGAATGTTTTCTCCTCTGTAGTATCTCAATAATAAAGGTTTCATCGGTGTGTTTTCCACAATTAGTTTTTTTTAAATATTGTTTATTTGTTTAAAAATCCTAATGTTTAATTTCATTTATTGAAGAATATTATTCAACTGATAAATGTTAAGCCTAAAGGATAGTTTGTGAGGTTGAGAATACCGGTTGGCCGCTCTGTCTTGACTAAAGATTTATGTATGTTTTCTAAGGTTAATATTTTAGAAATATTCTTGTATTTAAAATGATCACCTAATTGACTTATGATATTATTGGTTGCTGCACTGTGGCTTAATTTCAACAGCATCCCTCATTTTCTGCTTAATGCCATTGAACTGCATCCAACACCTTCCATCCAGGTGCGGTGCTGGATAGATAAACATAAAAACGTTCATCAGGAGCACAGAAAACCGCTTATTTTATACACAGAATACCTACATGTTTACAGATCACAGTGGTGAATGATTGATCTTAGTGGCCATCTTAACAAAGCATTTTAGCTGCATAAAATTCTACATTTCTTGGTTGTGTGTGCTTCCGATCAGCATCATTTAGATATTGAGTAAAAAAAAGGCAGTTTTTGCTCAGCCTTAAGTTGAAAAATGTATGTAATTTTGGTGTAATTAAAAATGTCAAAATGAGACATGTTCCCTGTATGTGTTTTTTATGATTTAAAAAGAGCTAATATTTAAACATCAATAACTCTCCCACGGTATGTAAAATCACTGTATGTGTTTTAGTTATCATAATCATTTTTCCACAATCTTACCCCCAACACAGCTGGTTGTTTCTGCAGCAAGTTGTGCAGTTCCCCTTTTTTTTCTGGGAGCATCTCTGAAGCCTGGTAATATCGGATCAGACTAGGCGGCGCAGGAGCCTGTCTCCTTCCTGGTTGCAGTGGTATGTCTTCCTCATGGATGTCCAGGTCTACATCAGCAGAGGCCATGTTGCTTCTTTTACCTGGAGGGATCATTTTAGGATTATCTGTATTGCAATGCTTTTATTTCATTTCAGCAACGTTATCAAAACGTGACAAATCCAACTTTGAGGCTTTGGCCTGAAAGCTGCAGTTAAAGTGAAAACTCAACGAAATAAACATCTTTAAATAAAGTTGTTAACATTATTATAGATGTGCAGGACAACCTAAATGTTGATGTTTTTAGTGTCCAAATAGTGAGAACTAATTGTCAGGAAATTTGAATATTAAATAAAACATTAAAGTTATCTTATAAAGAAAATTGTGATTCTAAGGCTGGTAACTGAAAATGTAATTTTATAACAAAAAAGGCCCTTCACAAATACATTAAGAGAAAGGTTTCTGCCAAAGAGGCTGGCTAACAGAAGGCTTTATCCAAAAACTGCTATTATAGAATTAAGTAGAGAGGAAAAGCGTTGCACAGAAAATTTGCGGCAAACAGACATCAAATAAATATATAGTATTCATTTAGAAAATCTATCTGGAGTGACTTAAAAAGCTATAAAAATTCATTAAGCTTGGAGTCAAGTGTGAATTTTCCACAGTCAGCAATGATCTGGAGGAGCTATGTCTCAGCAGATTTTGACTTGTTTTCTTGTTTCCTGCCCAATGGATATGCACATTTTATTTATTAGCAATACCGTCATAAGTACTGATACCAGATGAACTGGAGGCCGCTGTTAAAGCCATCTGGGCTTCAGTAACACCTCAACAGAATCATAGGTTTATCACCAAAGCATCCTGACTGTTTCATTGATTCATCCTAAATAAAAACCCAGAGCAAGGACTGAAGGTATACTGTGTAGTTCATGAAGAATTTTTCAATAGTTTTATTTCTGTATAAATAATTTTTGTTTGGTTTGGGGTGTAACATATCCATATTCTAAATTAGCAAAAGTAAACGAATTGAATTTGTTACTCTGTCTGATGAATCTACTGTTCCTTTTTAAATTAATTTGTTCAGATACATTTTTCAAGGATTTACTGAACCTTAGCTGCATTATGTGGTCTAATACTATATATGATTATGAAAAAAAACTAATTATTATCTGACATAATGCACAAGAAATATTAAATAACACTTCATGCATATTGCATTTTATACAGCATCGACTGCTACCATAAAAGAAATGGCTTTACACAGTCATAAACAGCCGATCATTGTATTCATAATAGGGAGATATACATATAGGTTTAAAATTGGTATGCTAAGACAACAACAAGAAATGTGACACACTGCAAAGCAAACAGCTCGTAACCAGACATAAAGAACTGTGGATAAAATAATATTTGATGAAACAAATTACATTTGCATCATTGATCTATAATTTAATAAGCAGAACAATATACCAATAAGTATCTAAGCTCATAAACACATTTTGCTTGAACTATTAACGAAACCACTTTGCTTTTGAATTTAATAAAAATCTAGAAAAGACAAAATTCTTACCAGTTGAGGAGTATTTATTTCGCTCCCTGTCTCAAACTAGGGCCTCACTCGATAGTAAAAATTTCTACTTCCTAAAACCCTCACACATGAGGTCATCGCCCACTAACTTCCTCACCCTGACACTCATCTACAAAGGTGCTCAATTTGGTCAAACGGTGCTTTTTCTATAATCTTTCTATGTTTTCCTTATTAAATGAATGCATTCTTCTGAATAACAAACTTAGTTACTTTACGTAACTTAAAAATTTAAATATTTATCTGAATCTGTTTGCATGCAAACATATTTAACAGATTCAGGTTATGAGAGCTGGTGGGGGTGTAGTATGAAGGTAGAGAGGTGGAGAGTCAACACGAGAAGAGAATTGGCATTCAAGGTAATTTCCTCGTCGGACTAATGAGACAAAGCTGCAGATTTCAGGCCTGAAGTGAGCGAAGAAATGGCAGAAAGGTAAAGATGACGTCCAGGAAAACATTTAGAACTGATCGCCATCAGATATGAGCTGCATTCATAACTTAAGGCTTTACAGGAGAATGAGGAAGACATTTGTTTGTGATGAATCGATGATCATCACCATCCCCATCGCCAGCCTGAGGAAAATTCAGGAGGGTCAACTGATGCCAGAGAACTTCCACTGCGTGTTCAGGGATAACTTCAAGGTGTTTGCTGTTAGAGGAAAGCCGAGGCCGCTGGGGGTGAGTTTCACAGCCTTACGCTGTAGATTCAATTGAAGGCAAGCACTTTAATCCCATACATTTACTGATGACACTGTATTCTCTTTTATATATCCTTCCTTTTTTTTTTTTCTTAGGCAGCACAAGCCATTGCTGGTGTATTTCTCTTCACTCTTGGATTGATTTCCAAAGAGTCCACCTTAATTGCCTTCAGTGTTTCAAGTGTTCTTGTAAGAATCTTTAAGATGGTCAAAAATGTCGCTATTTTTGTTTATCTCACATGGCTTTAGTTTCATCCGATTAATTTACTGTATTATTTTGTTAGTTTTTGATTTCTGGAATGCTGTCCTTTGCTGCTGGGAAATGTCCAAACATGCATGTGGTAAGTCTGAAAATTTAAGATATACAAATAAATAAATAAAAACAATATAGACTGCAAAGACTTATTACCAGCCTAGCTTCAGCTGGTTTTAAAATAATTTTTTGACCCTACTGCTATCAACATCTCTAAATGGTGTGTTAATCTGACTTATTCTAATAAGCCGAAGCTTTTCAGCTGATGTTGAATCATATATTAGATATATCTACACGTTAATTCATCTTTCTCCTATTTACAGACCAAGCTGTCCTTCTCTCTGAACATCATAAGCTTCTTCTGGTCACTGGTAGCTTTTGCTCTCTGTTTGTTCTGGCTTAATATTTCTTCCCATGGTCCGAATCAGGTGAAATACAAAATCCCCATCTTGTCTTCAGTTGCGTTTTGCTTTGCAAGATTCTAAGTATCTGTTTTTTTTTAATGTTAGCGACAGTTTCATCATGGTATCATTGGCCTGATCATGACTCTGCTGTTCTTTCAATGTGCGATGGCGATCTTCTTGATCTACTGGTTGAGTAAAGCTGTATGCAGAGAACATTACAACACCTTGGTTTGTTATTTTCTTTATTTCAACCTCTGATAAACATACAGAAGAACCTTTGCAATCATTAATGTTTCCTTTTTGTTACTCTGCAGCCCACCATAATGCTGAAGCAGGAAGACTGAATGATAAAGACAGAACACAACCAGAAATGATCCACTCCTGTGAACGTGTCTGTTTTCTAGACTAAAGTTTAACAGACTGGCGGCAGCGTATTGTTTATCAGTTCAGCTGCGCATGGTAGCATTACATTAGAAAAGGTGTTGTTTAACTAATGTATATAGGCAACAACTTTACAGTTCCTTAACATTTATTTCAACCTTTAAAAAAAAGAAACTCATTGCTCCTCTTCCAAAAAAGGGCAAAATATGTGGAAAAATGTTTCAGTTTGGAAATTATAGTGTGTTTTATAGGTATGAACTGAGAATCCAGATATACCTTTTTTGCCATTTTAACAGCAAAAAAAAACAATTCTGTTACTCTCTTGACCGTATTTTGTTTCTTTGTACAGGATGTTCTTGTTTGCTATTGTTAAAGTAGAATATAGATAGTTTGTCACTGTTTTAGCTTCTCATTGAACAAGAGCATTTAATCTAAATGCAACATTTGAGTATACATGCAAATTGTATGTTATTGATAATATCAGTTTCGGGTTTGCTAAAGTTAAAACAGATATTAAATTTGCTTGTTTGAGCAGATATGATTTTTTTTTACTCTGCTCTTGCGGTGTCAGAAAAGATGGCTGAACCACATAATGCAATTTTTAACAGTTTTTTTTTTCTCCAACTGCTATAGTAATGCAATGCACTTAAAAGGTATTGCTTTGCTTTATACAAGATAATAAATGGGGAAAAAATCGTAATAATGAACTTTGATGTTTTTTTTCTATTTTCTTTTTAAAACAATGCTCAATGTTCCATTGTTTTTACAGATTAAAGTTCTGGGGGAGATATCTTAAAAAATAATTACTCTGAAATTTTAGACCCAAATTTAATTTATAGATAATGAGAAATTTGATGTTACTCTTTCTCACATGTAAAGTCCTAAATAACCAAACTCTGTCTTTTATCAGAGATCTAATTGAACCTTATGTAGCTAACAGAGCACTTTGCGTTCAATCTGCAGGTTCACTAGTGGTTTCTAGAATTTCTAAAAGTAGAATGGGAGGCAGATCTTTTAATTATCAGGCTCCTCTGCTGTAGAACCAACTACCAGTTCTTGCTTCTGAGGCAAACAGCATGTTTACTTTTAAGATCAGGGTTAAAACTTAAATTTTTCATAAAGCTTATAGTTAAAAACAGATGTTTGCTTAGTCGCTGCACGAATGGAGAAGTAGCAGGAGATAGATAGAATGAACTGCCTGATATGACGGGGAAGAATTTAGTACAGAATGATTTTTCTCCTTGGTTCTACCTTTTTTATACTTCATTCAAAATAGTTAGGTTAACCTGAGCTTTTTTCTGTATTTATGCTGCTATATGTTTAGGCTGCTGGAAGACATAGGCGCCACTTTTTCCTCATTCTGATTCATTGTATCAAAATTCTCCCATTTTGCACAATTTGGTAAGTTCCACCCATAACATTATATTCTCCCTGTTTTTTTTCTTGTCATGGTACCTTAATCTTGTCTGCTCCTGTTGACTGACTCCATTCTGGAATGAAATAGCAGCTATGCTAATGCCATGTACATCCCTGTTTATAGATGTTGGAACTTGGCCTGTTTTTCAGTGTAGTCATTTTTCTTTTAATCTGACTAACTGTGTGTGCTCACCTTCATCGCTTTACATGAGGACAGTCTCAGAGCACTTCTGCCTGGCTGTCTCTTTCCTGGACAGGGCTACATGTGAAGCGAGTAAACAGCTACCTTTGGTATATGTGTTTCTTGTTTTATGTCTGCTCCTATCTCCCTGAACCTTGGTCAGTCTCAGCAGAAGCCCGCTCACACAGCCTGGTAATGCTAGAGGTTTCCTCCTGTTAAAAGGGAGTTTTCCTCCCGAACTGTCGCTGCATGCATGCTTGGTGTGAGGGATTTCTGAAGAGCCAATGGCAAAATGCAAAGAAAAACCATTTCTACAATCTCATCCAGGAGGAGCGTGTCTCACTGGTCATTAACTTAAGGCAATTAACTGGTTTTCCATGACGGAAACGTTTAACCAGTCTGACAGTACTGTCTCTGTTAAGTGTCTTCAAATAGCATGCTGTGAATTGGCACTACATGAATAACCTGAATTGAATTAGATTGAATTAAATATCTTGAGTAACCCTTCTCTTGAGTTGAACAGCTTCTTGAAGCCTGATGCACAGCCATAAATGACCACAAGAGAGAGACAAACAAAAAACAACTTACGCTAGTTCCACCATTGTTGGTATGCCAGGAAATAGTATTTATAATCTGTCAAAGATTTTCAATCTAGTTCTTTTTCCCAATGGGTAGTAATTTGTGAGAATTTTTACATACTGAGTAATAAAAAGGATTGAACAATTGATCGAGTTTGATTTTATGAAATTTAACCAACATCTTCTTCATTATCTCAAAAGTATTTCAATTATATCTCCCTAACTCATTTTGTTCAATATTTCTCCAGTGATTTTTAAATCCATTTATTGTAGTTTAAATGCAACCCACTGAAGAGACACGTGTTGTGCCAGCCGTTACTAAGCCATCTTACTGTGCTGACTCACAACCAAAGATCATTGCACTCATATTTTTCTTTCTATTTAATTTTTAATTTATATTCTTTGATAAGGCAGGCTGTCTTTCTTAAAGATCAAGCTTATTTTCTATTTTCATTTTTTGGCTTGCCGTCATTGCAAATAGTAAGCCACAAGCCAGTAGCCTTTTCCATGCTGTTCTAGCCCATTAACGAGTTTTGGCATGTATTATTTAGGCATGTTAGTAATGAATCTTCGTGAGTTGACCTTATTGAACTAATCAAGGAATTAACAACATTTTAACAATCTTTGATTAAAAAATTACATTTGCACCATAGATTTATAATCTAACAAGCAGAACACTGTACAAATAAGTATCTAAGTTACATACTGAAGCTCATCAAATCATTTTGCTTCTGGCTTTAAACTGTCAAAGAAATCTCTTTGCTTTTGAATTAAAAAAAAAAAATCTAAAAAAAAAAAAGCAAATTCTTACCAGTTGAGGAGTATTTATTTCGCTCCCTGTCTCAAACTAGGGCCTCACTCCAGAGTAATGTTTTCTACTTCCTAAAAACCCTCACACATGAGGTCATTGCCAACTATCTTTCTCACACTCATCTGAAAAAAATGCTCAGTTTGGTCAAACTGTAGTTTTTCTATAATCTTGATATGTTTTCCTTATCTAATAAATGCATTCTTCATAATATTAAACTAACACTACATAGATAGGTCCAAATGTTAAAAATTGGAATATTTGTCTGAAGCTGTTTGCATGCAAACCTTTAAGTGGTTATGAGAGCTGGTGGGGGTGTCGTATGAAGGTAGAGAGGTGGAGAGTCAACAAGAGAAGAGAATTGGCTTTCAAGGTCATTTCCTCGTCGGACTAATGAGACAAAGCTGCAGATTTCAAGCCTGAAGTGAGCGAAGAAATGACCGAAAGGTAAAGATGACGTCCAAGAAAACATTTAGAACTGATCGCCATCAGATATGAGCTGCATTCATAACTTAAGGCTTTACAGGAGAATGAGGAAGACATTTGTTTGTGATGAATCGATGATCATCACCATCCCCATCGCCAGCCTGAGGAAAATTCAGGAGGGTCAACTGATGCCAGAGAACTTCCACTGCGTGTTCAGGGATAACTTCAAGGTGTTTGCTGTTAGAGGAAAGCCGACGCCGCTGGGGGTGAGTTTCACAGCCTTACGCTGTAGATTCAATTGAAGGCAAGCACTTTAATCCCATAAATTTACTGATGATACTGTATTATCTTTTATATATCTTTCCTTTTTTTATTAGGCAGCACAAGCCATTGCTGGTGTGTTTCTCTTCACTCTTGGATTGATTTCCCTAGAGTCAATCTTAATTGCCTTCAGTGTTTCAAGTGTTCTTGTAAGAATCTTTAAGATGGTCACAGATTTTGCCCTTCTTGTTTATTTTACTTGGTTTTAGTTTCATCCAATTAATTTACTGTATTATTTGGTTAGTTTTTGATGTCTGGAATGCTGTCCTTTGCTGCTGGGAAATATCCTAACATGCATGTGGTAAGTCTGAATATTTAAGATAAAACAAACAAACAAAAAAACTTAGACTTCAAAGACTAATTACCAGCCTAGCTTCAGCTGGCTGAAAATTTATTTTTGACTCTACTGGTATCATCATCTCTGAGTGGTGTGTTAATCTGACTTATCCTAATAAGCCAAAACTGTACAGTTGATGTTAAATCATATATTAGATATATCTACACGTTAATTCATCTTTCTCCTATTTACAGACCAAGCTGTCCTTCTCTCTGAACATCATCAGCTTCTTCTGGTCACTGGTGGCTTTTGTTCTCTTTGCCATCGGGATTAATCATTGTGATTTTTCTATTCATCATCAGGTGAAATGCAAAATCACCATCTTGTGTTTAGTCACATTTTGCTAGGCTGAATTCTAAGTATCTTTGCATTTTCTTTAATAATAAAAACTGTTTCGTCATGGGATCATTGGCCTGATCATGACTCTGCTGTTCTTTCAATGTGCGATGGCGCTCTTCTTGATCTACTGGTTGAGTAAAGCTGTATGCAGAGAACATTACAAAACCTTGGTTTGTTATTTTCTTTTTTTTAAATCTGCTAAATATACAGAAGAACCTTTGCAATCATTAATGTTTCCTTTTTGTTCCTCCGCAGCCCACCATAATGCTGAAGCAGGAAGACTGAATGATAAAGACAGAACACAACCAGAAATGATCCACTCCTGTGAACGTGTCTGTTTTCTAGACTAAAGTTTAACAGTGTGGCGGCAGCATATAGATGCATACTGTTTCTGACCAGTTCCTTTTTGTTTATCAGTTCAGCTGCGCATGGTAGCATTACATTAGAAAAGGTGTTGTTTAACTAATGTATATAGGCAACAACTTTACAGTTCCATAACATTTATTTCAACCTTTAAAAAAAAGAAACTCATTGCTCCTCTTCCAATAAAGGGCAAAATATGTGGAAAAATGTTTCAGTTTGGAAATTATAGTGTGTTTTATAGGTATGAACTGAGAATCCAGATATACCTTTTGCAATTTTAACAGCAAAAAAAACAAAACAATTCTGTTTCTCTTTTGACTGTAATTTGTTTCTTTGTAAAGGATGTTCTTGTTTGCTATTGTTAAAGTAGAATATAGATAGGTTGTCAGTGTTTTAGCTTCTCATTGAACAAGAACATTTAATCTGAATGCAACATTTGAGTATACGTGCAAATTGTATGTTATTGATAATATCAGTTCCTGGTTTGCTAAATTTAAAACAGATATTAAATTTGCTTGTATGGGCAGATATGTTTTTTTTCCTCTGCTCTTGCGGCGTTTGAAAAGATGGCTGAACCACATAATGCAGCTATTAACTGTTTTTTTTTTTCAACTGCTATAGTATTGCAATGCACTTAAAAGGTATTGCTTTGCTTTATAAAAGTTAATAAATGAGGAAAAAATCTTAATAATGAACTTTGATGTTTTTTTTTCTATTTTCTTTTTAAAACAATGCTCAATGTTCCATTGTTTTTACAGATCAAAGTTCTGGGGGAGATATCTTAAATAATAATTACTCTGAAATTTTAGACCCAAATTAAATTTTTTAGATAATTAGAAAATGAATGTTCCTCTTTCTCACATGTAAAGTCCTAAATAACCAAACTCTGTCTTTTATCAGAGATCTAATTGAACCTTATGTAGCTAACAGAGCACTTTGCTTTCAATCTGCAGGTTCACTAGTGGTTTCTAGAATTTCTTAAAGTAGAATTGGAGGCAGATATTTTAATTATCAGGCTCCTCTGCTGTGGAACCAACTACCAGTTCTTGCTTCTGAGGCAAACAGCATGTTTACTTTTAAGATCAGGGTTAAAACTTAAATTTTTCATAAAGCTTATAGTTAAAAACAGATGTTTGCTTAGTCGCTGCGCGAATGGAGAAGTAGCAGGAGATAGATAGAATGAACCGCCTGATACGACGGGGAAGAATTTAGTACAGAATGACTTTTCTCCTTGGTTCTACCTTTTTTAAACCTCATTCAAAATAGTTAGGTTAACCTGAGCTTTTTTCTGTATTTATGCTGTTATATGTTTAGGCTGGTGGAAGACATTGGGGCCACTTTTCCCTATTCTGATTAATTTTATCTCAATTCTCCCATTTTGCACAATTTGGTAAGTTCCACCCATAACATTATATTCTCCCTGTTTTTTTTCTTGTCATGGTACCTTAATCTTGTCTGCTCCTGTTGACTGACTCCATTCTGGAATGAAATAGCAGCTATGCTAATGCCATGGACATCCCTGTTTATAGATGTTGGAACTTGGCCTGTTTTTTAGTGTAGTCATTTTTCTTTTATCTGACTAACTGTGTGTGCTCACCTTCATCGCTTTACATGAGGACAGTCTCAGAGCACTTCTGCCTGGCTGTCTCTTTCCTGGACAGGGCTACATGTGAAGCGAGTAAACAGCTACCTTTGCTATATATGTTTCTATTTTTATGTCTGCTCCTATCTCCCTGAACCTTGGTCAGTCTCAGCAGAAGCCCGCTCACACAGCCTGGTAATGCTAGAGGCTTCCTCCTGTTAAAAGGGAGTTTTCCTCCCGAACTGTCGCTGCATGCATGCTTGGTGTGAGGGATTTCTGAAGAGCCAATGGCAAAATGCAAAGAAAAACCATTTCTACAATCTCATCCAGGAGGAGCGTGTCTCACTGGTCATTAACTTAAGGCAATTAACTGGTTTTCCATGACGGAAACGTTTAACCAGTCTGACAGTACTGTCTCTGTTAAGTGTCTTCAAATAGCATGCTGTGAATTGGCACTACATGAATAACCTGAATTGAATTAGATTGAATTAAATATCTTGAGTAACCCTTCTCTTGAGTTGAACAGCTTCTTGAAGCCTGATGCACAGCCATAAATGACCACAAGAGAGAGACAAACAAAAAACAACTTACGCTAGTTCCACCATTGTTGGTATGCCAGGAAATAGTATTTATAAACTGTCAAAGATTTTCAATCTAGTTCTTTTTCCCAATGGGTAGTAATTTGTGAGAATTTTTACATACTGAGTAATAAAAAGGATTGAACAATTGATCGAGTTTGATTTTATGAAATTTAACCAACATCTTCTTCATTATCTCAAAAGTATTTCAATTATATCTCCCTCACTCATTTTGTTCAAAATTTCTCCAGTGATTTTTAAATCCGTTTATTGTGCTTTAAATGCATCCAACTGAAGACATACCTGTAGTGTTGTGCCAGCCGTTACTAAGCCATCTTAATGTGCTGACTCACAACCAAAGATCATTACACTCATATTTTTCTTTCTATTTAATTTTTAATTTATATTCTTTGATAAGGTAGGCTTTTAAAGATCAAGCTTATTTTCTATTTTCATTTTGTGGCTTGCCGTCATTGCAAATAGTAAGCCACAAGCCAGTAGCCTTTTCCATGCTGTTCTAGCCCATTAACGAGTTTTGGCATGTATTATTTAGGCATGTTAGTAATGAATCTTCGTGAGTTGACCTTATTGAACTAATCAAGGAATTAACAACATTTTAACAATCTTTGATTAAAAAATACATTTGCATCATAGATTTATAATCTAACAAGCAGAACACTGTACAAATAAGTATCTAAGTTACATACTAAAGCTCATCAAATCATTTTGCTTCTGGCTTTAAATTGTCAAAGAAATCTCTTTGCTTTTGAATTAAAAAAATCTAGAAAAAAACAAATTCTTACCAGTTGAGGAGTATTTATTTCGCTCCCTGTCTCAAACTAGGGCCTCACACGACTGTAATGATTTCTACTTCCTAAAAACCCTCACACATGAGATCATTGCCCACTATCTTTCTCGCACTCATCTGAAAAAAATGCTCGGTTTGGTGAAACTGTACTTTTTCTATAATCTTGATATGTTTTCCTTATCTAATAAATGCATTCTTCATAATATTAAACTAACACTACATAGATAGGTCCAAATGTTAAAAATTGGAATATTTGTCTGAAGCTGTTTGCATGCAAACCTTTAAGTGGTTTTGAGAGCTGGTGGGGGTGTAGTATGAAGGTAGAGAGGTGGAGAGTCAACAAGAGAAGAGAATTGGCTTTCAAGGTCATTTCCTCGTCAGACTAATGAGACAAAGCTGCAGATTTCAAGCCTGAAGTGAGCGAAGAAATGACAGAAAGGTAAAGATGACATCCAGGAAAACATTTAGAACTGATCACCATCAGATATGAGCTGCATTCATAACTTAAGGCTTTACAGGAGAATGAGGAAGACATTTGTTTGTGATGAATCGATGATCATCACCATCCCCATCGCCAGCCTGAGGAAAATTCAGGAGGGTCAACTGATGCCAGAGAACTTCCACTGCGTGTTCAGGGATAACTTCAAGGTGTTTGCTGTTAGAGGAAAGCCGAGGCCGCTGGGGGTGAGTTTCACAGCCTTACGCTGTAGATTCAATTGAAGGCAAGCACTTTAATCTCATAAATTTACTGATGATGCTGTATTCTCTCTTATATATCTGTTTTTTTTTTTTTTTTTTTTTTTTTTTTTTTTATTAGGCAGCACAAGCCATTGCTGGTGTGTTTCTCCTCACTCTTGGATTGATTTCCCAAGATAACTTCTTAATTGCCTTCAGTGTTCCAAGTGTTCTTGTAAGAATCGTTAAGATGGTGACAGATTTTGCCATTCTTCTTTATTTTACTTGGTTTTAGTTTCATCCAATTAATTTACTGTATTATTTTGTTAGTTTTTGATTTCTGGAATGCTGTCCTTTGCTGCTGGGAAATATCCTAACATGCATGTGGTAAGTCTGAAAATTTAAGATAAAACAAACAAACAAAAAAACTTAGACTTCAAAGACTAATTACCAGCCTAGCTTCAGCTGGCTGAAAAATAATTTTTGACTTGACTTTACTTGAATTTGACTTATTCTAATAAGCCGAAGTTTTTCAGCTGGTGTTGAATCATATATTAGATATATCTACACGTTAATTCATCTTTCTCCTATTTACAGACCAAGCTGTCCTTCTCTCTGAACATCATCAGCTTCTTCTGGTCACTGGTGGCTTTTGTTCTCTCTGCCTTCGAGATTAGATATTGTGATTTTCCTTTTCATCAGCTGCAGCAGGTGAAATACAGTACAAAATCACCATCTTGTGTTCAGTCACATTTTGCTAGGCAGGATTCTAAGTATCTGTGCATTTTCTTTAATAATAGAAGCAGTTTTGTCATGGGATCATTGGTCTAATCATGACTCTGCTGTTCTTTCAATGTGCGATGGCGCTCTTCTTGATCTACTGGTTGAGTAAAGCTGTATGCAGAGAACATTACAACACCTTGGTTTGTTATTTTCTTTTTAAAAATCTGCTAAATATACAGAAGAACCTTTGCAATCATTAATTTTTATTTTTTTAACCCTGCAGCCCACCATAATGCTGAAGCAGGAAGACTGAATGATAAAGACAGAACACAACCAGAAATGATCCACTCCTGTGAATGTGTCTGTTTTCTAGACTAAAGTTTAACAGAGTGGCAGCAGCGTATAGATGCATACTGTTTCTGACAGTTCCTTTTTGTTTATCAGTTCAGCTGCTCATGGTAGCATTACATTAGAAAAGGTGTTGTTTAACTAATGTATATAGGCAACAACTTTACAGTTCCTTAACATTTATTTCAACCTTTAAAACAAAAGAAACCCATTGCTCTTCTTCAAAATATGTGGAAAAATGCTTCAGTTTGGATATGAATTATATTGTGTTTTATAGGTATGAACTGAGAATACACATATAAGTTTTGCAATTGTAACAGCAGAAAAAAAAGCATTTTTACTCTTTTTGATGTTATCATTTTTTTCTTTGTAAAGGAAGAATGATAAAAGATTCTTAATGTATACTGTATAATTTTTGAGTGTATTTTCTTTATGGAATACAAAGAAGAACACAAATAGCATGGAAATATTTCATCTAAATGCGCAATTTGATTATATATGCAAATTGTGTCTTATTGATAATTAACATCAGTTTCTGGTTTGTTAAATTGAAAAGAGATATTACTTTTGCTTATATAAGCAGATATATTTTTTTTTGGTAAAACCAAATTTTTACTCTTCTCTTGCGGCTTTAAGAAAGATGGCTGAACCATATAATGAAGCTTTTACCAGTTTTATTTTCAACTGCTATAGTAATGCAATGCACTTACAAGGTACTGCTTTGCTTTATACATGATAATAAATCAGGCAAGAAATTGGAAAATGAATAATGAACTTTGATGTTTATTTTCTTTTTTTCTTTTAACAATGCACAATGTTCCATTGTTTTAACAGATTCAAGTTCTGAGGAGATATCTTAAATAATAATTACTCTGAAATTTTAGACCCAACTTTAATTTATAGATAATTAGAAAATGAATGTTCCTCCTTCTCACACATAAAGTCCTAAATAACCAAACTCTGTCTTGTATCAGAGATCTACTTGTACCTTATGTAGCTAACAGAGCACTTTGCTTTAAATCTGCAGGTTTACTAGTAGTTTCTAGAATTTCTTAAAGTAGAATAGGAGGCAGATCTTTTAGTTATCAGGCTCCTCTCCTGTGGAATTAACTACCAGTTCTCGTCTCTGAGGCAAACATCTTGTTTACCTTTAAGTTTAGGGTAAAGACATACATTTTTGATTAAGCTTATAGTTAAAAACAAATATTTGCTTAGTTGCTGCATGAATGGAGAAGTAGCAGGCAGTAGCTAGAGTGAACACCCGATACTGCAGTTAAGAATTTAGTATAGAATGACTTTTCTCCTTGGCTCTACCTTTTTTAATACCTCAGCTATTTTCTGTATTTATGCTGCTATATGTTTAGGCTGCTGGAGGACATAGTGGACACTTTTCCTCATTATGATTCCTTTTATCTCAATTCTCCCATTCCGAAGAATTTGTAAAGTTCTACCCATAATGCTATGTTCACCCTGCTTGTTTTTCTCATGGTCTGTGTGGGCAATATATTACAGCTGCAGTATAGATAGCATACTGTTTCTGACCAGTTCCTTTTTTTTTTATCAGTAAGGCTGCTCGCGGCAGCATTACATTATAAAAGGCTTTGCTCAGCTGATGAATATAGGCAACAAGTTTGCAGTTCCTTAATATTTTTCAACCTTATAAGCAAAAAAGGAACTTCTTGCTCCTCTTCCAAAAAAGGACAAAATATGTAGACAAATGCTTCATGTTTTATATTTATCAGAATGTGTTTTAAAAGTATAGGTATGAACTGAGAATTCAGATATACCTTTTGCTACTTTAACAAAAATAAAAGCAAAATTTTGTCACTACTCTTTACTTATGTTTTAGTAAATGATGTGTTAATGTTTCTAGTTAATGTAAATTGTAGATAGTTGGTTAATATTTTTAATTAATGTATTTTTGGTCAAAAGTTGCATTTACATGAAATGCAACATTTGACCTAATATGCACATTTTAACTAATTGATACTTAACATCAAATTCTGGCATTTGTTAAATTGAAAACAGATCTTATATATGCTTATATAACCCGAAATTTATTTTAAATTCTGCTCTTGCATTGTTAAAAAGGCTGAACCATATAATGCAACTTTTAGCAGTTTTTTCACTTGCTATATCAATGCAATCAGTTACAAGGTATTGCTTTGCTTTATGCAAGATGATAAAACAGGCAAAAAAATTGGAACAATAAATAACACTGTGACTCCATCCTGGAATGAAATGTTAAATGTTTGCTGCCATCAACATTTCTGTTTATAGATGTTGGAGCTTGGCCTGTTTTTCAATGTAGTCCTGTTTCTTTTACTGTGACTAACTATGTGCTCTCTTCCATCATGTGACATGAGAACTAGCTTTGAAGTAGTCTGCAGACGGTGTCTTTCCTGGACGGGGCCACCTGTTGAGCTGTGCAGCTACCTTTTGTAAATCTGTTTCTTTTTCTACTGTATGTCTGCTTCTATCTCCTGGAACCCCAGTCGGCCTCTGCAGATACAAGCTCATCAGGGAGGAGCATGTCTTGCAAGTCAATGGTCAGATGCAATCAACTGGTTTTCCTAAACAATCTGACAGTATTGTCTCTGTAAACTACCTTGAGAGGACAGGTGTTGTGAAATGGCGCTATAAAATGAATTAAATAACTTGGGTGACGCTTCTCTTGAGTTGAATAGATCCCTGAAGCCTAATGCCATAAATGGCCACGAGAGGGAGACAAACACAAAACAACTTAAGCTGGTTTCACGATTCCCTGGAAGCCATTGTTGGTATCCCAGGAAATTATATTTATAAAAACTGTTAAAGCTTTTCAATCCAGTTCATATTACCAATGTGTTGTAATTTGTGAGAGCTTGTAGATTTTGAGCATTAAAAAAAAAAAGGATGAACAATTGATAGATTCAATTTTATAGATTTAACCCACAATGTCTTTACAATCTCAAAAAGTATTTTAAATTAAAATTTCTAACTCATTTTGTTTAATATTTCTCCAGAAAACTTGAAAGATTGGCTTTATTTGATTGTAACAGCCATTAATCATGCTGTAAATGCATTTAACTAAGACACACATGTAGTAATGTGCCTACTATTACTGAGCCACTTTACTGTGCTGGCTCACATCCGGAAATTATAGAACTCACATTTTTCTTTCTATTTAATTTTCAAATGAAATTATTTTATAAAGACTGCCTAGTTTTTTTTTTAATGTCATGCTTTTTTTACTATTTCCACAAGCCAGCAGTCTTTCCATGCTTTTGTAGCCCGTAAAATATTTTGCCTTTGGTGTTTTTTTGTGTGTAATGAGTCTTCATGACTTTCTTTCTTGAAATAATCGATGAATTAATTAATTGTGTTATTGATCCACATACATGAATGAAGTAGAGGTAAAAGGAGTCGAAAGATCCGGTTCTTAATGATGAACCGAGTCAAATGAACCAGATCTCATTTGAGAATCCCAATTCCCATCCCTGCTCTCTCTCTTTCTGTGCCTCTGATTCCGCTAAACTCTTCCGCTTTGTGAATCTTCCTGGTAAACCAATCAAAATCTAAACTACGCATTTTCTAAAGAGCAGTCTCTCCTCTCTTAGTTCATCAAATTCTGCCTGCACGCAGACAGTTAGTTATGTAACTTTATATATTTATTTCATCGTATGATCCGGCGGCCAGGGTTGGATCAGTGTCTGATGTCTTCCCTGCGCCCTGCCTGCCATGGCGTCCGTCTATAGCGGATCCCATACGTTGAGCAAAGATGATGTCAACTACAGGATGCATTTCCGAATGATTAACGAGCAGCAGGTGGAGGATATCACCATCGAATTTTTCTACAAGCCGCACACCATAACCCTGCTGACATGCACGGTGCTCAGTTTGATGTACTTCGCGTTTACAAGGTGAGGAGGGACCCGATGCTAACGTTAGCTTAGCATCAGTGATGCTCGGAGACAGAGAAAGCTCCGCTAAGCTCGGCTCCCTGTCAGCTTTTCTCACTCTTACAAACGGCGGATAAACCTTTTTAATCTCCATACTTATTAAACCTGACCTAAAATCCAGTAGCATTGCTAGCTGTTTGTTTGCTTTCAGCTACAACGTTGTAATAGCAGTTAGTAGGGAAACTGGTGGCAACATGCGATCCTTTTAATGAATAATTGATTAATATGAATAATGTATGTATGTAATAACATCACAGATCCACTGTAAAGGCATTAAAAACTATAATTACATAACAAGCTCGGCCGAGTGTAAAGGTGAAGTTATTAACTGCTCATTGATAACTGTGATTTTTCAATGTGTCTGCAGAGATGATGGAAATCCTGACAATAATCTCTGGGTGGGGCTCATTCTGGTCATCTCTTTCTTCCTAGTAATCAGTGTTTTGGCATTTCCCAATGGTGAGTACAAAACACAGCATCCTGTTTCTTCCTAGCAGGATAGAAAGTAAGGAATACTAGAAATAATTTTCTACAATAAAGAAAGTGATTGTCATGCCATAAATAATCTGGTCATAGGTAGGGATGCACCGATCCACTTTTTTCACCTCAGATACAATGCCGATATGTGAAGTTTGATGTCGTCCGATACCAATAACAGCACTGATTTATTACCTAAAAAGTGGTTTTGTATTGTTAAGAAAAAAAAAAAAAAAAAAAAACTGGGATCATTCTTCTGTGCTTATGATTTGAAGAAAAAATGGGAAACAACCCAAATATAAATGTTATGACTCATTTATTTAACAACTGTGCACACAATCTTAACCCAGGGTTTCCACGGGTCATTAAAAAATCATTAAAAGCCATTAAATTATTATTTTTTAAATTAAGGCCTTAATTGGCATTAAAATTCATTAAATTTCATAATTGTGGCATTAAAATGGCTTCGGAAAAGAAGCTTGAGGCGGAGAAAAGGCTAGAGAATGGGGGGGAAATGCAAATTTGAACCAAAGTGGCGGAAAAACGAGGAACTCAGGACATGGCTGAAGCCTGCCCACGGTGAAGTGTCATTATAAAGTATCATCTCTGTGATATGTTTGGCCTGTATACTGTTACATGAAAAATTTCACTTCATTCCTTTGCTTCCATCAAAGTTAGCTGCTTCCCGCTGCTTCCTTTTTGTTTGCCGAGTCCGATAATCTCAGCATGTTCCTTGTTCTGAAATTTCTTAAGAGGTGTTTCATTAAGTTGGTGGTGTTATAGTTTGAAGATTTAACACCACCCCTTAGAACATTTCTCCCACAAATATTGCCATTAGGCTAGTAGCCATTGGGCTAGTAGGCTGAGAGCATGAAAAACCTCCACACCGCAGATACTTTCACTCGCTCCATCATAAACAATATGGCCGTGTTGTGTTGTTGCACTGCCGTATGATGGCTAGCATAGAGCTAGAATAAATAGATCAGTCCCTATATCAAGTCAATTGTCACCGATACGATCTAGTTTTATTTCTTTATATCTGGACCGATACCGATAAAAATATCGGATCGGTGCATCCCTAGTCATAGGTTTTTGCATTTAAATGTTCAGGCACAGCCCTTAAGAATGCTGTTATAATAAAGATGTTGCCTGATTTGAGAACAACAAGGAATACATTGCGTGCTTCCTGTTTGTATGAAAAATTCAGCTATGGCCCTGTGAAATGTTATCAGTAATATTAAACAATTAGAAACAATCCACTGGATTCGGTTTCCAAGCTTGAGACGTTTAGCTTCCCCTCCAGGAAGCTTTTTTAATTCAAAATGTCAGGAATAGCGTTGAGTTCAAGG